TCCTAATTCCTGTCCCAAGTGAATCCTCATAATGGGCTACAGTCAGAGGACGTTTCCTTCCATTAGAGGTACTTAAGAATGGAAATCCACTCTCCGAAGCAAACTAAATCCTTGGATCAGGCAGGTAGTGAGGTAAAAAACTAATTGTAACGTAAGGACATTACAATCTAATAAGAAGAAAAACCAAGACTAAAAAAACAGGGTTCCAAAACGTCTCACAAATAAATCAGGGGCATTACTAATAATTCCAAAAAAGGTAAAATAAAATTTCCAATAAAAAACTCGTTTCCTTAACAAGACTGTCCAATAATAAAAAGTGATTTAACCCTCTGATTATAACAGATGGAAACGGATTACATTTCCATCTTTTCAAACATCACAAACATGTCTACCATGTTTACTTCGACCAGCCAAATGCTATTGTGACAAAATAGTGTGACCAGAGCAATAGTTCAGCTTCGGCCAGGAATGCGACAAAAAATGTTGCCAGAACAAGAAGTAAAAAATTACAATCGATTCAATACAATAGTCGATTAAAACATTCTAACAAATCTCGTCCGTGACGCCGTCTCTCGGAGCTTACTGAAACGTCAGAAAATCCAGCTGTCAAAGTAACAACACGTCGATTATTCACTTTTCTGTAATGGTGCGAAATGCACCGTTACAGCAGACACATAGCTCTCGAACTAATAAAACCTTAAGACAGTAGAGTTTTAATCCAGATATTCTTGAAGTTAGAAGTATTTCCGCATTTTATTTATTGAAGAGGGGGCAGACAAGCAGACGGGTCACCTGATGGAAAGTGACTACCTTACGCTCTAATCTTAATCATATCCGGTATCGACCGTATAGGTCTGAAAATACCGCAGACAATAACTTGTTCCACATATTAGTTGTGTGAAGCAAAAAGTGTCTTAAAAAACGCACAGTGGTAGAGCGCCATTTATCCAGGTGGTGGAGAGGAAGATTTTGCCGTATGGAACGATATCGGAAAGTTGTATCCGGTACTACTCCTAACAATTCCCCAGAACACTCTCCATGATATTTACGATAGAGAATACAGAGTGAAGCTACATCTCTACGTAACGCTAAGAGATCGAGCCCATTGGAGATCTTTGGGCAATCCACGATTCGATTCGCTCGTCACTGGATGCGGTTCAGAGGGAGAAACTAGTACTGAGGTGCCCCTGCATAGAGATAAGAGTAGTATTCCAAATGCGGTCGGACTTTCGCCTTATATAAGGTATAAGGCATGTGGGCCGGAGTGAATACTGCCCTGATCTGTTCAGTACGCCGAGCTCCTTTGATGCAAATTTGAAATACCCTCTAAGTGACCCCGAAACTGGAAGGTACTCGCAAAGCGAGATGATACGACAAACGATGATACTTTTTTGCGGTGAACGAAAAAGACACAGGTTTGCCGCTAAGGAAGTTTCAATTTCAGACACAAGTTTATTTCGAATCTCGATGACGTTTTCCGAGCTTCGAGAGAAGCGCCTTATGCCAGACCCGATCGAAGGCCCTCGCTATCTCAAAACTAACAGTATGAGCCTTGTTCTCGATCGCCTGTGCTCACCGGTGTGTTAGTAAGTCGAGAAAACCACCAGGTAAGCCACCCCGGCAAAAGCCATACTATCGGTCATTGAGTAGCTGGTGCTCATCTAAGTACCGGGAAAGCTGGCAGTTAATTATAGCTTCCATAATCTTCGAGAAAAAGGTAGCTATGGCTATAGGCCTGTAGTTGAACAGGTCAAAACGGTCACCTTTTTAGAGATCGATTACACAAACGCTACCTTCAAAGTGTTCGGGACGACGCCTTGGGAGTAGGAGAGCCGAAAAAGGCTCGTGCCCTTCGACTTCAAGTTGGCACCAGTTTTATCGTTAAAACTCTAGAGGACATGTCTTCAACACGAAACCCGATATTCCATCATACCCACTAGGCATATGGTGTCAGTGAAAAGAGTGATTTACGCACTGATTTTTGGATGAACCGGATTTCCTGCATACAGCTCTAGCACCGCAGTATGGTTGGCGGTACGTTTTCCCTGTCATCCAAAGTCGAGTTGTATGCAAAGAGTTTGCCTAGGCTTTCTCCTTGGCATCATAGGCCAACGAATTATCTGATACCTGCAGGGGTGGAAGGGATTGGCTACAGAAATTCCCCTGGACAGCCTTGTCAAGAGACTAGATTGCACGAGTTTCAGAAATAAGTCTCACAAGTCTGTCACCGATCCGGCTGATGTGCTGCGATTTCACTCTAGCGATTACTCTTTTAAGAGACCTGGAGGCAAAGTTATATTGTATTTTTTTGGTGTGCTGGTATTTCTGTAGTCATTGCTTACCGTCACTGCATTTGCCCAAGCTTGAAAGCATTTTGTTTTTTTTTTTCCCGCAGACGTTTTGCAGGATCTGTCAAACCAGGGCGTGAATCTGCTACCAATGAGAATTAATGGAACGAATAGTTCCATGACCCGAAGCAGTACATCGGTGACAGAATCGGCAACGACGGGATGGGATTATTCGGCAATAAACAAACCTGCCTCCATGGGCAGAACGCAAAGTAAGAACGCATCTCATCCCAGTCCAGTGGACTATAGTGCCATACGTGAGTAGCATCGTAAGCCGAATTAGGCAATCCGAGGAGGCAAATGGACCTTTAACGGTGACTTTGTAACCGTCCGGATGAGAGGTCCGATTTCACCCTGACATAGGTCAGGGCGAAATCAAGATCTTGAACAGATCTCCCCGCGTGATCGAAGCCATCGATCGCCAAGCCATTCGGCGTTGTGAGCGTTAAATTCGCCAAGTATCACGATCTCTGCGGATGGGATCTGCTGCAGTACGGAATCTGTAGCCATTTGGACGTGGTCCATCAGTCGGTCAGTTTCGGTGTCACCGATATGGGGCCTGTAGAGGCATGCATAGACGCGCTTCGTGTAGACAACGATGGTCGTTGCTGTCTACACGGCGACACAAGATGGAGAGGTCAATTCCTTCAAGATTGCCGAAGCAGCGAGAACTGATATCATCTCTAATGTACACGCACACTCCAGCCCTAGCAACTATGGAGTGTTCCAGGTGATAGCCGGGGTAGGAGAGGGGGGGGGATCAGACACATCCTAATGTGTCTGATGGAGATGATATCTGCGTCTCGGTTAAAAAGAGCAAGGCTTTACCGTCTCGAGGTGGTGGTGGACATCGTTGAGATTTGAGTGTAGATCCCTTATATTCCAGAAGTCCATGTCAAGCCTGACGAGGGGTGACCTAATTTATCCGCTCTTGCCGCGGCTATTCTAATAGGCTTTTGTATTATAGGCTAATCTATTGAGGTATGCAACTCAATAGCTTAATAGAATAATATAATTCCTTGAAAACAACAACATCAAGTTATATTCTAATTTGGATTTTGAATTAACTAAACATGTACTTAATGAACTTAATGACTTTGTTAAATATACTAATTTTTTTTTCAAAACTCACCCGAGTCTAAACAGTGTAATTTTTAAACCAAGAAACAAAGTAAGTCTTTGAATGAAGTAGTCATGTTGTGTTTTGACTGTTAGATTGCAGAAAAAAAAACGGAACATACATTCGCACGACTTTTAGAAGAGATTATAAATTATTCGTCACCGAGTTAAGAAATATTCCTTGTGTAGTACTAGTCTCGCTTTAATATACATGTTTACAAGGTGTTTGTGAATTGCTCCGAATGCTGATATGATGATTTTTATTGGTAGAAGCGGTTTATTACCCTACGGTTCTAATGCTATAATTAGTTGGGCAATCATATCCCTTTTTTGCACACATACCAGGCCCATTTTTATCAGGTTGTTATTAGGAGAATTCGCCTAAATAAGGGTATTTTTCAGGCGCTAAGAGGGGTCTGGATGTCTTAATAAAAGCAATTTCCAGGTCCCTCTTAAATTAAGTGCAGTATGACACTCAGTATGTTTTCAGGTGGTGCGATCCCAACACACCTCTTAACACCTTGATGAGTTAGTTACTGGCTTTGCTGCCACTATGGCGCTCCAGTCGGGATCGTATAATATCCACTTTTTTGCTGAAGTGGTTGTGATAGAGTTGTAGAATACCGGGCAGGAAGTATCTTGGTTCGCTAACGTACTCTATCAAACCGTTAGTAATATGAGGGGGTTACTAGAATTCTTATGCAAGTTTGAGTGGCTCGAATAATTTTATTCCAGCCAGTAGGATTTTCGGAAATGAGCCTATGGTTAACCTTATTAAAAGTAGTTCATGGAGGCAAAATTACGTATAAAAAGACATAAAAGAAAGACAAATAATAATATACATCAAAGACAGCTTAGATTAAGTCTATCTATTCAGATAAAATTACTTGCCCTGACTGACTAACTGATTCACTGACGCAGAGGCTAACCCGCAAGGGCTACAAACTTGAAATTTTGACAGCTGATGCTTTTTGTGTTTAACACCTACTACTCAAGGATTTTTGCAAATTCTCCCTAAGGAGGTAAAAGAAGCGATGAAAGTTTATTCATTATTTTCAAAGAAAGAAACATAATACGATTGGATTAATATGAAATACAAATATGTTATACCTTTTTTTATATGTATATATATACTACTTTGATTCCTTTTCTTATCCAGTTTCTAATACACCAGACACTACTCTTTTCTTTTTCCTAATCATGTTTCCTCTCCATCGCACTACCGCCTGTAAGAGATTGCCTCTGAGCGACAAGGCCACTATTTGAACATACATCATCTAGTAGCAAGTTATGTTCTGTAGTTACCTGGTGTACCTGGTCTTGTCCGTATGGTGAAGTGTTAAGAACACGGAGTATCAAAACACTTATTTATCCCGTGAGTGCCGACTAAGGGAGCAATCAAGTGTCCAAAGATAATCTCATATGACAACTTGATACAGTCATACAAGATAAGTTATCGTCATATTGAGTATATAACACCTGGGTAACCGTTCAACTGTATCATTATTTCTGAATCCGAAGAGCGAAAGCAAGATGATGAAACAGGCTTTTATTTTTCTGGCCCTCCTCGGGGTCGCCTTTTCAGCTCCTCAGCCAAGGAAACAGTTCAGTGAGCACGTTTCGGAGTTCTTAAACATAATAGCAGAGGAGGCTGGTGATGATATTAACCACTTGATGGAGCACTACTTAGAATTTGAAGAGTTCCGGACTGCATTAGCCTACACGCAGAGCACTAACTTCAGAGATCTGATTTACGAGATGGAAGCTTTGCCCGAATTTAATGCAGTAAGTTTGTTGATTGTCTTGTTATAGTATAAGTGATATAAATAATACCTATATCACTTTCGGGTAAGAATACGTTCTGTAATGTATTGTAACTTGTGGACATTTCTGTAAATCATGGTGTACGATAACTTTCAAATGAATTCTCTTATAAAGTTACTGATATGAAACATTCTGCCATGAGGGAAAAAAATCTTTATTTCTGATAATGTGGATTCATTTGGATACTAAATTTTTAAGTTAAAGATTTGGTATTTATTAGTTTTAAATGTTGATAGTCTCGAGACTATGAACATTTACACGCTGTTTAACTTATTATCTCAGAAATTGTAGGTTGGTAGTTACAGTTTATCCTAAAAATCATATTTGTCCCCCACAGCCCGTAGTAGCCTCTCACTCAGGTTTGCATTTTTGTGATAATTATATTAAATCATAAATTTAGATTGTAATGATTTTGTGAATTACTCTCACACTCTTTAGTGTTACTGTACCACATGTCCGTTTTTTAAGTAAAGTGTAGTGGTAATTTTAATTTTAAAAAGTAGGTAGTAATTAATGGTAGTAATTTAATCCCACCTATAAGAAACACAGCATTTGTAATAGTACAATACACAAAGAATATCGCTAATATTACAAAGTTTGAAAGAGTTAATAATGTTTTTTTCTTCTACAGGTACTCGACTTCTTAGAGAATGACAATATTGACATTCACACCTTTATTGATTTATTAAATGAGATTCTTGGTAAGTGCGGCATCATTTAATAGCGACAATCGAAAACAAGGAATTCTTTAAAAAAAACGCAAATTCTAACCACATCCTTGGTATTAAATATCCTTGGTTTAGTTATATCAGCCTCTCTTAGTTACGCTTTGTAGAATAAGATAAAGATTTTTCGGCCAATCTAAAAGATCTATTTTTTACTCATGATAACACTGTAAATTTTAAAGTTGGTTTATCTTATAAATAAAAAGTAAAAAATACTGTGGTAAACTTTTATGATATTGTAATCATAATTTAAGCAAAAATGATACTTCACTACAACTAATAATTATTGCAGATTACATTGAAAAAATGAAGAGGAACACACGACACAGTGTTAGTGGCACTACCATGAGTGACTTTATATACGACTCGATCGCAGTATTCCCTACGGCGAAGTTGGCTGCTCTCTTCGACGAAAAGATGGCCAATGACGAAGCATTCAGCACAGCACTCATCAACCTCCAGAGCGAGGAGTGGCGTCAAATTGCCACTGCCCTTTGGGAAAACGAAGTTTTCCAGAAAGAGATTCAGCTTCTCAGGGAAAACGGCATAGAAGTTGAGGCCCTCATGGATGAAGTGTTTGCCATCTTCGGACAGGAGTAATTTTTTCCTAAAAAAATGTATGACCACTAAACAATATATCTCTATATGTAAAGTATTCAACATAAGGATGATAAATATTCAATTTGAATAGTAATAAAAGTCAATAAAGAGATTTGAAATTTACAAAATCTTTTTATCTGCGTTATCTCATCGAAGTCCTAGAGTACCTAAAACCAGGAATGTAATACAACCTACAATAGTGCTATTCTACTAATCACATAAAAAATATTGTGCATATTGTACACAGATGTAAGATAACTATTGTAGAAGTACTAGATGTAGACACCCTGGGATCTTTAGAATGCTGGATATAGCACTGGGTTTTTATAAATCTTGTGCTTGGGGGCATAGTGGGCAAACGAGCAGATGCGCCAACTGATGGTAAGTGACAACCAGCGCCCATGGACGCCTGATACTCAAGAGACACTAGTGCACGTATACTATCTATTCCAGGTTCTTTTATTTTTTACTGGGCTTTTTATTGGTTACTTTGAGAGCCTGTCCCGATCCTGGGCCTCGCGGACCGTGAGAATATAATCATTATTTAAATGACTAAAAAAGAAAAAAATAAATTTTACTTAGTTTAAACAAGAAAAGAAAAATCGTTTTATCGTGAAATGCGTGCGAGCTAGATATTAATTGTTGTAAAAATAATTTTTTGACCGAAATTGGTTAAAGCAAAGTTATTTTATTATAAATTCCTTGAAAAGCACCCCTTGCTTTTTACGACAAAATGATTTTTCTCTTTGAATTTATAGAAAATTATTATATTATACTTTTTAGTTCCGCAAGTTTCAAAAGCGTGTTTTTTTTTTCGCGGTATCTTTATCAAGAATTTCAGCAGAACTGCTCTTTAAATTGTCTTTGTCTCTGCCTATATTTCGGGACTTCAAAGCCTCATTAATTAAAAAAATAATAGTTACATACACTTCACAATTAAGATTAATCTTTAGATTAAGCTTTTTATTGATAAAATTAAAATAATTAGCTTTTTAACTGTTACCGCCTGTCGTACACAATAACGTAGTTATAGGAGTACAGTTTGTAGTCATCGAAATGAAACATAAATTCTAGTAATTATACTTTTAGGCTTATGAATAAAAGGTGAAATAACAAAGTAGTAAAAATAGTCGGCTAAAATAAATTCAGGCAATTTTCCAGTCCTAAACAAAATCCAATGCGTCGTTGAAACGATCATCCAATTTCTTAATGTAACGAACCAAAAACACCAATTCACAGTGATCGTTCGGTTTGGAGCTAAATTGTTCCTGATTCTAGTGAATAATGCTCGGGTGCCTCAACGTTTGCTAATGGTATCAGGCTTTAGCGCCACGTGCAATTACACAATGTTATAACTCGCAGACGTTTCCGAAATGGTGAACTATTGGTGTCAGAGCACCACGTGACGAACGTGTTTAGCTACACTGCGAATGAATTTAACGATTAACAACTATAGTGGCGTGTGTAATTACAATGCTAAGCTAGCGAGGTGTTAATTTGTGCAGTCGAAGAGCCCGATGGTTCGTTACCAAAAAGCAATGGAGCGATCGCGACGAATTTTTGGCATCGCCTGCGAGCCGAGGTGAACTACAAATTGCGAACAAATTGCTTAAATTCGAGGGTTTGTTACCTACGTGAGTGTGAACATATTGTCTAGTTACAACTAACAACAGAATTTTCACAGAACGCTTCACGCCCGCTGACGTATTCACTTTTACTGTTTCAACTGAATGAATTTTTATATAAAATAAAATTGACGGATGAAAACATAGTGTAAAATTGTTGGACACTGGTACAACATACATGAATTTTGTGAAAAGGATTTGCTGTTGGATGTTTTGCCAACAATGAATAACTATTTCCAGTATTCAAATAAAGATACATTTATGATAGAGAAAACAAACAACAGTACAAATAAAACCTTTTTAGGCGAACTTGAACTTTTTTATTAATAGTTCGCCATTTACCTGTTTTATTTTGTAAGTCCGGGTATTAAGGTGCGTTTTCACGTTACGAGTAGGCTCGGACCGAGTGCGCTCGTACAAGCCTGCTTGTATAAGAGTGTATTCGGATTGAAGTTTCCACGTTACGAATTAAATAGCGTCCGAATATCATTTTATTATTTCATTGCACTACATCCATTTTCAACATGTCCGATGATGACGATCTTCTACTGCGAAGCATAGAAATAGCTGCAGATAGTCAAAAAAAATAGTAAAGAGCAATTTGCGCCCTCCATAACTGGTTGATTACTGGTTCATTACTGGAGAACTTACAGTACCTGGAACATGGAGACAAGAATCGAGCTCCAATCATATAGCTGATCCTGTGAACTAGGTTAATGATTCTTAGTTTCGGTCGGCAAAGGACGAAGAACTAGTTTCAAACACTACATCACAAGAGAATATGCCATCACAAGTATTCTGAAATACCTGTGTTTTATTATATTAGTAAAACATTATTATAAAACAACAGCAAACAAACTACTAATATTATTTATTATTTTACTGTTATAAACCCTAAACATTTCATAAAATGTTTTCTTTTTTGATTACACACGATTTTCAACCTGTTCTTTTAAATCTGCAGTTTTAAACCGTAGCAATGATTGATTTTTGTTTGTAATTAAAGACCCTGTTGTTTTTATTTTTATTTTCAATAGTTTTTGCGAGTACCGGTACATATTTATTTATATATTTACTTCAGTTAGGAAAACCAAAAGCTACAAAAATTAAATGGTCAGATTGACATACTAGATCAAGCCAATTACAGGTTTTTACTAATAGAATCATTGCAATTAAACAGAGGTTCTGGAACACTAACTAACACCTATACAATAAATAACAATCGATCTAAAAATGTTACGATTGGAAAAAAATAAGGTTTAACATACTGCGCACAACTTTGCTTTTGTTATTAAAGGGATCCTTGCACAATTTATTGAAATCGCTGCTCGCTCGAACAACATATGAGTTTTTTCTATAGTTAGAGGAGGAAAATTAAATAGAAATGGGTGGATTAAATCTATTCGACTTATGGGGGACATTAAATTTTAACCTTTGCAGAAGGCTAGGACAGTCGATCTTATCAGAAATAATTTTCAAAAGAAAGGAACAATCAACCAATCGGCTGCATATGAAATTTCCTACACAAACCAATGTAAATATTTGAGCTATAAGGAATATTTAGACGAAAACACAAGAACCTCAGAAAACGTTTCTGTATGTTCTCAATGATCGATGTACCTATGATAGCAAGGGTTCCAAACATGCGAGGCATACTCCAGTTGGCTCGTAACAAAAGTACAGTAGAGAATTTTAAGCGTTATATTCTCATTACAAACCTCAAAGCCTAGAAAGCCTTAGCAATAATTTGCTCAATATGCACATCTAACAGTAGCTTCGTATCATGGTAAACACCAAGGTCTCGCACCCCAACACATCTTGGTAATACTTGTCCCTTAAGTTCGTATGGTGCTAGTATTAGAGAACGTTTCCTACCAAACGTTACGACTGAGCATTTAGCGGGGTTTAGTTCTAATTTGTTTATTTAACAGTAATGATCAAGTCGTGATAAGTCTGATTGAAGTGTCTGGACATCCTTTGCCGATGATATTACAGAGTAGATCGTCATATCATCAGCAAAACAGAGCAGATTAGAAGTTTGGAAACAGGAGTCGATGTCATTCACGTAAATCGTAAAAAGCGATGGGTCCATTAAGAAACCCTGGGGATAGAAACCCAGCTAGAAATATACTTACTGACAACTACAACCTGAGTCCGATTTTCAAGATAGGAGGAAAACCACTGAAGTAAGTCCCCCCTATGCCACTGTTAAAATTACTGCCAAAATAACATTATTTTCAGCATGTTGTGGTCTATTTTATCGAACGCTTTGATATAGTCGGTATAAATAACATCGACCTGAGCACCATCATCCATACCCTGCGTCACATAATCATTCAGTAGTACCAAGTTTGAAACTGTTGAATATCCTCTTAAAAAACCGTGTTGTGATAGATTAAAAGTATTTTTGAGCGCCGCGTACACTTGATGGTAAATAATCCTTTCAAAGACTTTTGCCAGAACACATAATTTGGAAATGGGTCTATAATTGACAATGTCAGTTTTTGGCCCTTTCTTGTGCACGGGAGTAACATACGCAGATGTTATTGAATTTTTGTTCACGTCTCAGTATCATAAGTTTAGGTATGTGTAAATTATTAATTATATAATAATAATAATATTTATGTATTTCCACAAATAATTACAGTAGTTACATCGCTTTTTACATTAGTTATATAGGTCTCGAAAGAAGGTATCTTAAACTAGCCATGGCCGATATCTTAAGAGGATCTTATTTGTTTATTTTGTATTATTTAACTTTAGAACTGTATTATTATTTATAACAATGACACTACTGGATATTATTTTGTTATAATTATTGTTAATTTTTGCATGCTGTGACATTCGGCTTAATATGGTGAAACTAGCTGTATCTTTTCCACCTGTTTTTTCTTTTTGTATAACCCATATTATCGCAAATAAATTGAATTGAATTGAATTGAAGTGTTCGACCAAGATTTTATTTGCTTGAGTCTTGTAGTAATACAGTTGCCATTGGTGGAAATGTTTAAACTTGGTTATTGAAGTGTTTGTGTGTATGTGTGTGTGTATATATATATTTGTTTGAGAGTTATGTTATATACTTAGGTCAAAAGCGCTTCTATTAGTTCATAGTTCTATTTCAGTAGCCAATGTGTGATAGTGATCTTCAGTTGGTTAAGTATTTAGACTTAGTGTACTTATGTCTTTATGTAGCTTTTTATATGTATATTTACTTATCACATAAAATTGATGTTTTGCAAAAGTGTTTTTTTGTGGTAAGGATGGTATAATAGTGGAGAGTTTGTGCTGAGTTGGTAAGGTTAGGAGACTATGAGTTATGAGAGTAGACTGCAGGACAAATAACTGACGTACGGTTAAAACCTCATATTCAGCATATAGTTGTGAGGTTGGGTATCTATAAGGTTTCTTTGTCATGACTTTAAGAATTGCTCTCTGAGACTTTTCTAGTTCCAACATATTCGTCTTAAACACCCCAAACAGATATTCAATAACCCAATATAGACCGGCAAAGAGCAAAATAAACCATCTTTAACGTGTGATGGTCAGCAGATTCCTTGCTCCTCTTCATAAAGCTCCACAAACCTCATAGTGTCACGTCCACTCCACTTTTTTTTTGTTGACGCCATTTTGTTTACATAAAATCATCCGAGTGCACTCGAAAAAATAGAACCGCGTCCGAGTCCACTGTGATCGGTATCCGACGCTCGGATGGCGTGTTTACACGATACGAGTAGCTTCCGAGTAATCACACGCACAGCGCACTTGGTCCGAGCCATCTCGTAACGTAAAAGCGTGGCTTTAATGAGAGTGGCAGTTTGCATTATTTCCTTTCAAAAATTAAAACCAAGAAAAGAGAAGTACAAACAACTGTCGTCTCAAGTCGGTTCAACCTTTTTTCAAAAGGATTTATTAAATTTAAGGATTTCATAAGACTAGTCGCAAGTATTTGTTTTGTATCCAAATTCGCTAATAGTATTGGAAAACTTAGATGTATATCATCATATTCATCAAACGCATTACGCAAGCAAGCAAATTTTTTTTTCAAACACAACTCCCCCATTAATAATATATTCTGTGTCGCGGGGGACTTTACAAACAAGCATGAAACGGACACAAAGAATACTCAGACTCAGAACAACAATTTGTGGATCACACAAAGCGTCGTCCCATGTGGGGTTAGAACCCACAACACTCGACGTAGTAGGAAGCGGCGTGGCGACCGCTTAAGCCACTACGCCATCCGTGCAGTCAATCCCGAACAATTGTATTTATCTACCCAATTTTTTGTCTTTTAGTCTTTAAAATAATTATTGCTGCTGCTTTAATATTTAGGTATAATAATAAGCCGTTCCATGGTCAGTCGCCGACTAATTCCTACTAAAACATACTTCAAAGGAAAATATGCTGATAAACGCACAGTATTTTATTATGTAACTGAATTCATAACTTATTTCACTGCTGAGCATGTTTAGGCATTTACTTCAATAGTTGAGATAAAGATAAGTGAACTATCATCAATATCAGTTATAAGGAATATAGATATTTTTTAATAATTCAAGTAGGTTAGTGTAAAATGATACACTCCACAGTAATACGCAGGTATTATCACATCAGATATGAATCAAATCGCCTTATGATAAAAGACGTCTGTAAAAATCGTTTTCATCTACTTTGTTCATCATCATGGTGTATTTTACAGGTCAAAAAAATATGCTTTAGTTGTTAGTAGGCATGGGATAAAATAACAATGACATGTGTCATTTTACGGAGATTGTGTGACTCATCTCCAACATCACTGCGACATATTATTATTTATTATGCCTCGAATCAAGAGAATTGTATAAGATACAAGAAATGTAAGCTTATAGGAGTTGTTTTTTTTATTTTTCAATTTGATTTTGCTTCTCTTTGTTTTGTAAGTTTTTGTAAGTCTTATAATAACTTATAAGTTCACATTATTATTTGTAAATTGTTATTGCACTTTTGTTGGTCCATGCTGTGCCTACCTTTAATTGGCGTGATGCTTAACTTTAAAATTCATATGTTTATAAATACATTGCAATAGTGTACTCGCCGTTGGTGGCCTAATAAATAAATAAAATAAAAATAAATCGCAGTAATACTTTAATGGTTCCAAGTCTGGCAACTAGGATTTAAACGCATTGAAAAGGGCTGTATACGTTTCGGTTTTCTTATGACTTAGTGATTTTTTTCTTTTGTCTTAATTGTACTAGCAGTACTGCCTTTTCTTTTTACGTATGGAAAGACCCTTGGGCCCTTACCCCACTACCTGCCCGCTATAACGTCATATCATCTACTGGTATTGAATGATTTGGGTTAGGTTAGAACAGTGACCATTAACGCCAGATACCCTCTATTGTTAGTGAACTCAAATGAGTTAGATAAGGTTATAACAGTATGATGATGCTATCAAAAGTACTTTTTAACTGATTTAGCTGGTTAAGAATTTTGAAGTGTAACAAATCCAAAGTTTGATTTTGATGCGATCATTAGAAGTTTTTAGAACTAACAAATGAAACAAACAAATTGATATTCATAAATTATATATTTCATAACGTTATCCTTTATCGCCTGATCCCATTGCAACTTCCTTTTGTGCGTCCACTAGAAGCGACTGAAGCTCTGAATATATCCTCTCCAGCATCAGGAGCCTGGGCTTTGTAAACTGTAATTGAATTGTTTTATTTAACAATAATTCTAATTTCTTTCCTTACAAATTCTAATCATAAATTTTATTTAAAGTAAATTAATACCCGTCTGAACTTATAAAATATATGATTAATTTTAGTCATCAAAGCAATCAATAGCTGCTCAATGCAGGGTTTGAATCACAAGAGACGAAGCAATGGCAATTGTTAACCACTTAAATATAGTATAGCAAGTAATTGCGTTATCCATTCAGACAATCAATTGTGTCATAAACAGAACAAAATTTGTTGTTGTGGCCTTTGTACTTCTTTCGCCGAGAAACAAAAGATTAAAACATATTTGTTCTTATCCTCAGAACAATGGCTATTGTATTATTCTGAGTTAGAATGTTGACTTTATCTGCGTGGAGTGTCTGGAGATAGGGAGGGGTCACGACGCGTGCGGCCATTTAGTGTTCTAACAAATTCTTTTACTATTAGCGTATATGTATATAGTAGAGAAAATCCGAACTGGATGCGCAACGCGATGCTCTTAAGGCTAAACCACCAGCAGTCATCTCTTATAACTTTGTCGGCGGTGTCCTCACGTGCAGTCAATGCTCGCGCACGTTTAGTCACAGAATTGGATACCATCCATCCTAGTAGCCATCAAAGGGCACATGCGAGAGCTGATCATCCTAGCTCCACTGCTAATAATTAGCAGCAGTCACCATAACCGGTTAGGAATGAAGAAGATATGTATATTGGCTGTAAATGATTAAAGCTAAAGGTTCCTTTTTCAGGGACATCCTTTAAACTCAAGCTCAAAATATCTTCATTTCAAAAAAAAATGTTTGATATCGTTTTAGACTAGTGATAGATCAACACACACAATAGCAACAAACTGTTTTGTAAAATGTTAAGAAAAACGAAGTTAATTCATTATACTTATGTATGTCTGTGCCGATCTACAGCCGCTAGTTTCCCGGGGGGTTAAGCCTTATGAGAAGGGGCCACTTTTTTTTCGATTACAGCTCATCATTAAATACATCACAATATTTTTTAAAGCTTCCATTATCAATCGTTGGGTCACGGCCCACCAGACTTTATAACCTCGCTTGATCGGAGGATCCTCCTTTTGGATTGGACATCATCCATCCCTCCACATGTACTTAACTTTTCTAATCGATTTATCGTATGTGTATGTGTACTAACAAACAACAACAAAGAGGCGTACTTTCAATTTTGACCCCTCGTTTTCGAGAAAACTTGCTATGGCGTTTTTACCAACAGGGATTAAGCGATTTTGAAATTCATTTAACTAAAAACCACAAAAATTAAGTAAGTAAGTATTTTAGATAATTTATCGACAATTATTCGAAATCGTCTCTTGTTTTTTTTTATTATTATAATGCAAAATTATAGATTCAACACAAAGCAGGTACCGTTTTCATCTTTGCGATAAAGTAAAAACATAAAAAAATCGAGAATTTCCTCGTGTACTTAAGAAAAATAGTGATTCATCAATCAATACAAACATATTTATCTTATATTCTATTTATCTTATTTAATCTGCCTAATCTGAACTTTTCTAAAATCCAACGTATGTAAAACATTAGATCATAGTATGAATCACGTATTCACTGACTGTTAGTCATATTTTTGTCTGATAAGTTTAGAACGAGCGGTATTTTATATATGACTATCATTCTATATAATATACTTATACCTATCTATCAATTAATTTTATCACTATCCCTACAAAAGCGATAGATTTAATTGGTATTTTTGTATGATAGACATCCTACAACCCTTTTAGTAAAATTACTACAATAAGTGCCTATTTATTTTTTTTCCATAAAATCACTTAAAATACCCGGTGTGATAGGAAAAATCGCTAGGTAACTTCCACAATCAACACATTGTCCTAAAAATAAACAATCATTCCAGTTTTCAGTTAGGTGCTTACATTTTCTAATCTATGCGCATTAACAATTTCCTTTTCTTAAAATTACCCTCCCTTCTTACTTACTTTAACAGTCATCATCATCATCACCTATGGTAGTGCACTGCTGGACATAGGCCTCTCTTATTGCAAGCCACTTAGACCGTTACTCGGGTTAACTCTAGGCTACTCTTAATGTAATAAAATAAATTACAGATTAAAAAATAAAAAACACGCTTTTGTTGCTAGCCGAACTAAAAAGTAAAAAATAATTTCGATAAGTTTAAAAAGAAAAATCATTTTATCGTAAGAATGCGTGGGGTGCTAGATCACAATTGTTGTAAAAATATTTCATTGACAGACATTCGTAATTAAAGTTATAGAAAAATATTTTCTACTTTTTAGTTCAGTTAGTTACAAAAGCGTGTTTTTAGTTTTTTTTAAAGAATTTATTTTTCATCTCGTCATTCAATTTCATCATCAAGACTAAAAAGTTACAAGTAAGTAAGTCATATATGCTTCAGCACACGCCTCTTAGTACGTAGCAAAAGACACTGCCGTATTTATAGATATGGAAAAAGCTATTAATTTTTAAGATCCTGATCGGGGATCGGCAGGTTAAAGATTCCGTTTTATTAGCTTGGTATGTATGTATATACATACCAAGCTAATAAAAGCTGTTAATAAACATTACATAAGTGAGACTAAAATTATAATCACCAAAACGGAAGCTGACTTTGTGACTTTTTGACTTGACGTTAGAAACGTCACGTCACGTCAAAACGTCAACACACAATTAGAATCTAAAAAAAAAAACTCGATCAGCTTCTGACTTTGTTTAAATATCTCAAACTTACTTTATTACTATTAGTTACTTTATTTTCCTTTTTTTTCATTCTAATTAAAGAACAATAGAATACAATACCTTAAACAGGGGTATTAATTTTACTGCTTCAGAATCAGTTGCACCTTGATTATGTTGCTTTACCAGTAGTGTTAAGTAGTACAATACACGGTTCTGAAAATAAGTATTAACGATTATTAAATAGAATTTTTATTAATTTATTCCATATAAAAAATAATAAGTGGTGTCTTAATAATATACCTGTAACAATACATTTATAACAGTGAAGTGTTACGAAAAACATAACACGGTAAGTTATTAGTACTTAGTTACTAGTTTTTACCAAAAGAAAAACTTAACTTTGAACCTCTATGTACTCGTATGATACATTGATACTCGTATTCGACATTGTCAATTTGCTAACCACAAATTTCATGTTTATAACAGAAATTTGTTATAAGTAGCTGGTATCCGCGACTTCGTTCGCGTGGAATTTGAAAAGCGCTGCCTTTGTGGGTTCGATTCCCAGACCGGGCAAAATTTTAAAGGGTTTTCTGAGAGGAAAAATAGCCTAAGTTACTCCTTATATGGACAGCTACCTTGTAGTAAAATATTATCAAAATCGGTCAAGTCGTTTAGAAGATTACCCGGACAAACAGACAGACAGACAAAAAAATTTAAACTGTTTTTTTAAGCATAGGTATCCTGCAAATAACCGTGAGAGCATTAAAAAACCTATTATTTTGACATTACAAACCGAGACTTCAATTTTATTTATTTTTATAGATGTATAGACAACAAAATAACAAAAGCTTTTTGTTCACTTGTGCTGTAAGAAATTGTTCTTCACCTATTTTCATGACTCAATATTAATAATCTCAATATTTTATAGGTTTCTAGATGATATAAATCTTTTAATGTATTTATTCAATTAAATTTTTCTCCCATATTTATATATTAGTATGTGTTATTTATTTCAGTTATTTATTATATTTCATATTATAAATATCTAATAATCTTTTCCAAAATAATCTTTTCAAGGTTTACCAATCAGTTTTAATATTATGTGTTGTTGTTAGCATATTCATCCACTCTATGTATCTACCGTGGATAACTTTTATTTGCTACTCATTGCTACTCATGTAATTATAGTTCACTACCTGGTTAAGAATTCCAGCTGTTGTTATCCCTAAAAAAAAAAAAAAAAAAAAAAAAAAAAAAAAAAAAAAAAAAAAAGAAAAGCTTTAAGGAACAGAAATTTGTCGTTAACAGCATCTAGACATACGGATAACGAAATTATACTAAAAATAACCTCTTAAAACCTCTCATTCTTTTTCAATAATCGACAGAATTACATATTTTTTACCACCTTAAGTCATCCTTGTAAAAAATAATCTTACTACCTTTTGTTATTGTACATTAAATCATAATCAAAACATAATGAAACTTATTGAGGAAGGAGGTCGTTCAGCGATCTCAAAAACTAATCCTCCATAACAGCGTGCACGGCGCCTGGTTGCCTAAGTGGTTCCTTCCACTCCTCCACGAGAACCTGGCGGAGTTGAGATTTCTGGTCCTCGATTTCTCGAGTCTCAGGACTCTGACCCAACTCCCGTGCCTCCTTGAACCACTGATACAGAGCTACAAGGGCACTCGCCTCCAGGTCCCACGTTGGAGCTCCTAATGGCCAGCACTCGCTATGGTCGTCACAGTAGTGCGACGTTAGGGACGTAGGCCCCTAAATCCTTTAAATGTGTACTGGACCCTTTAAAACCACTGTAATTTGCGTTCTTAGCTCCTTCTTATAACGTCTCTGCTTTGATTTTGTGAAGCAGTTTTTAATTAGTCAGTGTGTGAGTGAGTATCCTTTTACAATATACCTAAATATAGATTTCTTTATAAATCTATATTTTGAATTATTATAATATTATTAATTTATAACTTTAACTTTTCTGTTGAAATATAAATATTAGCATCAGTTTAGTGTACGATATCGTGTAACCGCGCCTTAAAGAACTCCTAGAACATGGGTTTTAAGTACTTTAGTCATTGATATAATACTTACATAGATGAGTAATTACCGCCTAAAATCGTTGCTACTGCACATATGTCCACAGGCATATGCGTAGCAAACGTCAATTCATTATTCAATGTGGCGTCAACCGAGTTGAACATAGCGACACATGACAGTAACAATCGCCAAAATGGCTAAATGCGTAGTGAAAGAATGCGATTCAAGGTCACAAAACATTAATAAATCATGCGGAATTAATTTTCACGTGTAAGTTTATGGTTTTTGTATTGATGATATCGTAAATAAGGCTATAATTGAAATAAAACACTGATAATTGTAATTTAGAATCAGTGTTACCATTAAAAAATCATTTTGGTTTTCCCACATTAGTGGGAGAATTTATAATTTATGAAATAATATGCTTATACTGTTTTTAAACATTTTGCCAATAATAATAAAATATAGGAAGAACGGTAGTTGTTAGGGCTGGACCGATCCCTTTTTTTAGGGACCCGTTGAACGTTCACTGCGAGCTTGGCAGAAGTGCCAAGCTCGCAGTGCTGGAGACTTTTGTAGAAAAAAATTAATTCATTGTTTTTCTTAATTTATTATCAATTTTTAAATAATAATTGTACAAAATAATAATAATAATAATAAATGTTTATCATAAAAATAAAAATATAAAATAAAAAGTAAATAAACATAAATAAAATTTTTTATAAAATAAAAATAAAATATTTTTTTTTTTTTTATTTGTTTTTTAAATTATAATAGAATTTGCAATACACCCTGGGGATTATTTATTATCAGTACAAGTTGATCATTCACTTTTATTATTAAATGCTATTATTTTTACATACGTAAAAATAAGATTGTATCATGAAAGTAAAATATCCACACAAACTTATAAAAAAGAGTCTAAAAGACAATTGTATACAAAACTGATGCTTCACAGCGCAGTTTGATTTTACACTGAATATAAACCCTTTTAACCAAATATTTCCAGTTATTTTATTATTTATACCTATTCTATTCAATTTGAAATATATTATTTAGAATATTTAAATTAATTTATTTTATTACAAAATTGTTTTAAAAAAAAATTGTTTCTTAGTTGTTATGGGTAAAATTTCATACGGTAGTCAACACTGGCCCACCATCGTAAAGTTATATCTTTGTCTTTGTCTAATCCGAGCGATGGTATTGTTCTTGTCTCGCGTGTAAATGAGACATAAATATGTTTACTTTCAAATGTTTAGTGGTATCAAAGCTACGTCGTCAAAGTTCAAAAGTGGTTACACTTTTTTCGACGTGTGATAATGAGGTTTGCTTCTCTAGTGTTGTTTTAACTCAATGACTTTAGTCTTGTCTTGTTAATCCCTCTAAGCTACAATCTTGTTTTATTAGGAGTGGTCCACACCTGTAGTGTACTTGAATTAGGTTCAAATAAGAAAAGGCCCGTACACTAAAAGAATTAATTACAGTAGGTATTTTATGGATTGATGGCACTCCATTTCAGTTAAAGCGAATAATTTAGTCAAAAAATATTTGACAATGCACTTCAACTTATTAGAAATATTAGAGAAAATTCCAATACCGTTAAATTAAAAAAAATAACTTAATTTATTAGATAGAATATTCTCTATCAGACATTTAGAATACATAGTACTTATTATACAAAAAAATATTACAATGATACCGAGGCACTTTCAGTTAAATGACGTTACTTATAGATTTCACACCCTAACAACATACTGCAAATGCTTATACACCAGACAGACCACAAACATACATAATACACATGCATTACTACTACTATATACAGAAACTGACATGCACTACTCACATCACCATACACAACATACATAAACTAGACATTAACCAACACACACACAGAAAACCACAAGAACTTGCACAATTCCTTAACTTAAATTAAAGACACATGCTACACTTATTTTCACCTTTTATGAGGGTTCAGGACTGTCTTATCCCTAACACAGGTCATTCTGTAGCCTAACTGGAAAAACACAACTCAACCAAGGTAAATATTGTTGACTTTAAATTGTAACACAAACTAATCTTAATAAATTGTAAAATTGTGTAAACCTACAAGCTCATTTATACAATATAAAAAAAAAATTGGAGCCCTTATTTTATATTTATAAGGACTTCTTACTCAAATCAGCACACATTTCAATGAAATAAACATTGTTGGCCTTATATAATTATATTAATAAGTATCTCTATATTTATAACTCTATTGTGATGATCATAGGTACATTTTAAGAATCTAAATTATGATAATATTTCAATAAGATGTATGTGTCAATATTTATTCAGGTTACATGTCACTTTAATTATTATTTACCTGGCTGTGCCAAGATGGTTAGGTTTTTTGGGTATATGTGTGTATATTTTTTTGGCATGCTCTGTAGCCTAGACGGCTTAATGGTTTTTGGCACTTAAGGTGTGCCGTTAGATTCCTGTTAATTGTGAGAGTGACACTGGGTGTATGAATGTTATATGTACATACCTGTAATAGGCATGCATACCAGGTATGATATTTTGTAGAAATATTTTATCAGAGTGCAATGTATGTATGCTGTTGGTATATTTTATTTTATTTTATTATCTTTGGAATACCAACAGCATAAAATACACTTTCTAGAAACTAAGCCTAAATAAATAAATACATAAATATATCAAATAAATAAATACCTGAATTCATTGATAAAACAATACAAGCAAACCTGCAGGCCAAAGCTAGTAGAAAATAATTAATTCTCACCAACTTAATGACTTCATTGATTATTACATCATCAATGCTAGACCAGGGGACAAAGTTATCCTCCTTACCACATACATATTTTATTGAACTTTGAATGCCCACTGTTGGGATGACTAGAAGACTTTCTGAAATTAACAAAGTTTATTTATTTATTTAAAACTTAATGTACATGTTGTACAAAAGCAGACTTAATGCCATGAGGCATTCTCTCCCAGTTGACCTTACCACATACATATTTGGCATGACTAGAAGACTTTCTAAAATATTACATTTACTTATAAATATTAAGAACAACTGAAGAATGGCAACTTGAACATTTTGTTTGTGTTACCGTTGTTTGTTGAAAAATAAATTATATTATTTAAAAACTTTATAATTTTAACTAACTTTTATTTCTAACCCTAATTCAGAGTCTATTTGACTAGTTTTACTATACACTTTGAGTTAAATTATAAATATAGGTGTAATTCCTATAATAAGATATATGTATATGACAAACAGCATCTTTCTTTAATGTCCTATGTCTCTTGGATGGGGCAAGGATACCTTAAGCAGACTGATACATAATACGCACTAGAGATTGGTATTGGGCTTCAATTGCCGCATTTAGACACACCTACAAGTGATACAGAACATTAGTGATGTGAAAAAATATTTATACTCAAGACTTCAGCTGACATAGAACTAGTTTCTTATGTTAGAGTCACCGTTTGTCCCATTTACCATTAAATAAATAAATATGACAATCATTAGAGACAGGTATGAAAGAACGTACCAGACTGAACACTGTGTGTCACCCAAAATATTACTATGACTGAAAAAACTATAATTATGACTAGTAAAGCGGTAAGACTTATACGAACATATATTAAGGCTGTAATATTAAATATAATTGCAAGAAATAGTGACATTTTTGGCCACAAAGAAGATTTATCAACGTTTTTATAAGATATCGTGAACTGTCTTGAAGTTGGAGAATTTTGCCTTTTATTCACTTTCAAAGTTAATTTTACTCCGTTCACATTTTCTTGTTCCATTATTGTTTCAGTTCCAGTCATTATGGAGTATTTTTTAGTTCATTTATCTATAATTTAAATAACCTATGTTCGTGAATCGTGTTTACATTTACATCAAACCAAACTGATTCCATCTACGCAAACGTTATTTTATTGATTCTCTAGCTCTCCCTGTTTTAACAGAAAGTAGTGAAAAAAAGATAGAGCATTTTGCAAGCACAAAATCGTGAAACATTATTTCTTAACTACAATACAAAGTCAACAGAGTTTGAACTTTGACAGCATTGCAAAATGTCGGTCACAAATGTCACAATTGTTACAAGTAAAAAGAACCAATGCCATAAAGATTTAAGCATAAAGAGAACACGGGGTACCGCTGCCTGTAAGTGAAAGCGATACAGGCAGCATACGAGAGAGTTGGATGCCCGATAGTTCCCTCTGTCTCTGTTACTTATTAACCTAACACCCCACATATTCCACAGCCAACCACAAAGCTCTACAACAGCCTATACTAGTCCACTGCTGGACATAGGCCTCTCCTTAGAAAGGAGGTTTTGGCCTACTATACCACGCTGGCCAGACGAGTTGGTATAGGGTTTGTTTCAAGTAGTAAGAGATAGAGAGAATTATCTATTATCTATAATTATAATATATGACTAATACGTTTAAAATTACTTTTTCAGAATACCTGCTTTTTACGAGTACCTAATCATTATGTTAGAATATTTAATCCATAGAGATATAAGCATAGAGTGAACAAGAGCCCCAATTTAGTGATTGTACAAGAGCCCAAATTATTGTAGGCATCGAGAGAGATGCATAATAGATAGTTCCCTCTATCTCTTTCTAAGCGAGCTTTGTAGTTGGCTGGGGAAATTTCTAATCTCCTGCTTTTTCGACGATCAAAACAATGTCCACTTCACGAAAGCCTATATTTCATAACTATAAAGTTATAAGTTATCTGAATTGAAGGCTGGCAGAGGTCTTCGAGGCAGTCTAGAAGTAAAGTATTTTTATAATTTAACAACAAGACGTGGGACCAGAGTGATGAACTATTATGTAACATTATTTTATATATTATACTATATAACATTAATATGCATTTCAATGATATATCTAGATATATAGTTAGTATAGGGGTAGGGGGTCGGGCTCCGGAAACCTCACTCACTTGGTGAAATGCAACAGGGAATGGTAAAGGTGTTTGAATCTATTGTGTCCTTGCACTTAAAACTATTTTAGTCCATACCTATCCAAACATCAACAAGGTTTTGTCAAGGCAAGATCTACTTTGACGAACATGGTTACATATGTTAATAGAGGTATTCTTGCCCAACCTCGATAGTAGCAACATTTACGGCCACGGGACGCGCTTATACATGTCTGTTATACAGATCTTAGTCTTACTAATGGTCATTCCTAGTCTCACTCGTCTTGAAGAATGGTCTAGGTTGTTTTTAGCATTTCTTCCAGATCATACAGAGATTTCGCCAGGAGCACTGTGTCGTCTGCAAATCACAAGTGTGAGATGTACAAGACTCTATACCTACTGGTGGCGGCAGTAAACTGTACCGCGACCAGTAGGTATAGAGTCTTGTCTTGTACCGCGTGTGCCACCCCGACCGCCACACCGACGCGGCAACGATCGTGCCGCTCGTTCCCGTGGCCAGGCCGTAAGTCTTTTCATCATTAAGAGATTACAAAGCTTCCTAACCTTCAGCTACCCTATTGGTTGACAGCTACCTGACACAAAGAACTGTAAAGGTCCGATACGCTGGGGAGGTACACAAGAAAGGCACTAGCATGGGTTGCGTACAGGGCTCCATAGGAGGCCCAATTTTATAGAACCTTCTCCTGGATCCACTCCTTAAGAGCCTAGAGGCCAAGGGGGAATACTGCCAGGCCTTTGCCGACGACATCCTGCTTGTCTTCTATGGGCAAACAGCAGGAGAAATCCAGGGACGCGCCAATGCTGCTCTCGAACACGTCCGCGAGTGGGAAGTTGCCAATAAACTTACTTTCGCGCCCCACAAAACGATGGCAATGACCATAACTAGAAAAATCAAGTATGACACCCCACGGCTTAGCATGGGGGGGGTCAGCATTGGAGCGTCCAAGGAAATGAAGATTCTGGGAGTCACCATCGACCAGAAGTTAACTTTTAACAGCCACGTCACAAACGTCTGCAAAAAGGCTGTCGGGGTGTACAAACAGCTATCCAAGGCAGCAAGGGTAAGCTGGGGCTTGCATCCAGAGATTATCCGCACAATCTACTTGGCAACTATTGAACCTATATTACTTTACGGGGCCAGCGCCTGGGCGCCGGCCGCGAATAAACTGGGTGTACGGAAACAACTGGATACGATACAACGAGGGATGGCCCAGAAGCTGTGCAAGGCCTACCATACAGTTTCTTTAAACTCGTCACTGGTGTTGTCGGGTATCCTTCCCCTCGACCTCCGAATACGTGAGGCAGCTCTCCTTTACAAGAGCAAGAGGGGCATCACCTGGGGAGCGCTTGAGGATCGAGAGGTGGAGCGTATGGCACGAGCTATAGAAGCTCCACACCCGGCAGAGCACATATACCCCGACATAAACCTGATCGCGGACAGGGCCAAATATCTGCAGAGTGACAATGTGGCTGTTAAAATCTTTACAGACGGGAGCAAAATTGCAGGTAAAGTCGTAGCCGCTCTGACGGTATGGAAGAACGAAATAGAATTAAGATCAGCGAAATTTGCACTCTCCAATTACTGCACGGTATACCAGGCCGAGCTCCTGGCACTACACAGGGCAACGAGGGAAACCACATTGCGTCCGGAGTCTGCGTTTGGAATCTATAGCGACTCCATGGCTGCCCTCCAAACCCTACAAAACCCCCGCTCTCTCCACCCGCTGGCGGTGGCAGCTAGAGACTGCCTCAAAACGGCGTCTCTCCAGAACAAAACTGTCGCCCTGTTCTGGATCAAAGCACACGTGGGACTGGAGGGCAACGAGAGAGCTGATGAGCTGGCCAAAGCGGCGGCGGAGGGTTCCAAGCGCAGACCGGACTACGACCTGTGCCCCGTTTCATTCGTCAAGGGTAGCATTCGGAATGCAACCCTCGACGAGTGGAACCAAAGGTACAGGAGTGGAGCAACGGTCTCGACGACAAAAATGTTCCTGCCTGACGCTAAGATCGCGTACAGAGTGGTCAGGAAGATCGAGACCACGGGTGTCAGGACCCAGATCATGACGGGGCACGGCGGGTTCTCTGAGTATTTAAATCGCTTCAAGTGCAAGGAGAGCCCGGCGTGCATCTGCGATCCAGGAGTAATGGAGACAGTGCAGCACATACTCTTCGAGTGCCCTGTACACTCAATAGATCGCTTCGATGTTGAACAAGAACTGGGTACCAAAATGGAAGCCAATAATATGGCAACTATTATGATGGGCCCAGATAGGGACAGATTGCTTGGCTACTGCGAAAAAATTGCAAAAATGGTCATAAAAAGAAATGAGGTAAAGTAATTAAAATATGCTGTCACAATATTGTGTGATATTTCTGTACAGCATATAAATGAAATTAGACTAAGCAACTAGTAATAAGCACATTGTAAATAGTAGTTAAGCCACAAATTGAAATAGTTTTAAGCAAAATGTAAACCGTAGATAAAACATGTAGATTAAGGTCCTTTAAAAATAACGAGTAAGTCTGTCATGTTAAGGCGAATTGTACCATAGGTTAAGTATAAATGTATCAAAAAAAAAAAAAAAGTTGTATAAAGATATAGATTAAGATACAGATAAGTATAGAAAATAAGTTAGTTCAATCAAAATTCGTAGTGTAAGTTCACTGACCTATACCCTACAATAAAGAGAAAAATATTACAGAATAGGTATGATAGATGGGAGTCCCACCCATACTGGAATGCTAAAAGGAATGAGTTGGTATGCAGCATAAAAGTGCGAGAGGCATACAAGATAGAACTGGAGTGAAAGTGTACCTATCGATTAGGAAGGTCTCCAATTACGTGTGAGGATTTAGGCTGTCGTAAATAAAAAAAAAAAAAAACCTTCAGCTACCTACTACATAAACATAGGTTTTACAGTTCAACCCAGTAATTATGACGTTATCAACATACCATCAGATTGCTATGGGTACCTACACATTTAGTTATGGGGATTAATTTTGCTATTGAACACCTTCTTTAATTTCACTACCGTAGATACAATGCAAAAGTAAAAACCTACCCATAATACAAAAAGCTTCAATTCAATCAATTGAACTTTAAAGTGCCATTATAAATGAACTTTTGCTTTCTACGATTGATTTTATTAAAGTCTAGATCATGCTATAATTAACGTTCCGAGTATATCTGTAACCATAACAACAACTAATACAAATAGACGTCACAAAATAGTGCAAGGAATACCAAAATATAAACTATCTTACTGAGCACAGGTGAGTTTATTGAAGTGTGAGTAGCACTTCTTACTGAAAATGGATCATCTCGATGGCAGTGCATGGGTGTTTGACTCACTTGTAGGGTTTCTTCACGGCCCTGTATGGAATGTGCCATTGCAGACATTTATAGAAGAAAAATCTTTGCGTAAGTGTTATAGAGCTGCTACATTACATACACTTCCTACTTGGCTGCACAATGCACTTAGCTAACTAATTTTTGTAGGTAGGCACTTGTAATTCATGAATATTGCCATTGCAGCTTTTGAGCCAACTGATGATGGAGAAGTGAAAGACAAACCTGAGTATAAGAAAATTCACGATGAATATCGTAATTTGGTAAGTAGGTACTGTGGGCAAATGTAATTAATGTAAAACACCAATATAATTATTGAAATATAAAGATATCTATCTTTATTTATTATGTTATTACACAGATGTTGTCAAACAGACGTTTCTCAACAAAAAATTGATTTCTTATAATGTTATGTCGCAGTCACGAAATCTTTAATTTTCTATCATTTTATCGGGCAACTCGGACCCGTATGGTAAATATTTATTTACGGTACTGGTTACTTCCTAGACTAGTCCCATAGTATAATAGTCTTCAAACATCCAAGGTACGTAGTCCATAGGTGTATGAAGAGTTTTATAGGTCCGAACATTTCCTACACTAAATCATAAAAAATTGCAGGTGGATGTAATGCTAGGCTCATTTATGGACGACATTGGTATATCGGCAGAACAGTTTGAGGCAGCATGTACGCTGTCAGCACGCGACCTGGCCGGGCTACCAGCACATTTTCACCGCCGTCTCTTCGAACAAATATGGGCTGCTAACGATTATGAGATGTTCGTTAAGATGATGACACATAAGAATGTGGAGCTTCAGTTACAGGTATATAGGCAGCGTTAAGCTTCGCACCTAATACACATTGTCATCATTTTAATTTAAATCAATTTGTTCAGGCTATAGAATTAATAGAGAGGCGATATGGGACTATGCCTTTATTTTCCAACGAACCAGAAGAACTCGATTCTTCCAAAAGCACCGACAATGACGACTGGCCCGATAACGATGATGTCATGACTGAAATAAAAAAGTAAGTGTGTAACACCAAGAGTTGTTTTTACCCTTAGAGATTTGTTGGAGGTATTAGAAGCATGACTAGGAATATATTCAATCGAACAAAATCGAAATTTTATTCAATCGAATAAAAATCGAAGAAAAAAAGCAATAGAATTGCACCGATCGGGTTTATAGGCGGTAACTTATTTTATTTATTATTATTATTATGGAATATCCATATCGGCTTTTATCACAGTATCTGCCTACGTGCCATTCATTCGTGTTCATCACGTCTGAAAAATCTTGAGAATACTATTTATTCCAGTTCGATTGCAGTTATTATGTTTTCAGGTTACAGCTACAAGAATTCGAAGACAGTGATGAAATCAATGTGCCACCGGAGGAAGTGGTGGCCGAAAAACAAACTCTGCTATCAAAACTTCATAATTTTGAGAAAAAAGAGGATTTCGAACCAAAGAAGACTGTTACCTTTGAAGAGAAAAAGATCCAAGTCATTGAACCACCAAAACCACCACCGCAAAAAGTAGAGGTAGGACAGTATTACTCGGGGAATCAATGTTTTTTTTTTATATGCCTACAGCAGCAATTAAATATCTACTGTTTTTTTTTTATTTACTTACGTTTCCTCACAGGTCACCGAAGAGGATATGCGTGCTCGCCAGGAATATTTAAAACAACAGCGTGATAAGCTTTTGGCACTAAAGAAGCAAGTTCGCGAACGGAGGCTGGGTGCAGCTGAAGTGAATGGCGAAACTGGAGGTACATCAAATAAAGCACACGGTTTATAAACCTAGGAGCAAGAGCTGAGGCAACAGCTTTAATGGAATACCTTAAAATTACCTTTTCGCATCTCTTTCGAGACATTACGTATTCATTATAGGTTGTGTTAATATTATTTTCGAATTCAACCAAGATACAATAAATGATTCTAGGATCTAAACCTACTTTCCGCTTAATTCAAAAATTCTGTAGATCCCACTAGTCCCATGATATTGTCCCATGATAGGACAACTGATACTGTTTCATCCTAGTGGGCCCTTGGGACAAGTGACACTTATATTTTAAATCTCAGAACATCCATAACTATAAAACAAAATTAAATAGAATTAACCGGGAATGTCTTCATACAATTACTGTGTAAATGTCCACATGTTCAAGGTGGCGAAGGCTCTCACAGCAGCGTAGCTAGACCTCGATCAGCACGCGTAGCACAGGCGGCTTTGGCAGGCGCTCCCCCTCCACCACCGCCAGATGCAATGCAGTTGCGACGGGCTCTAGCTTCTAAGCTCAAAACTGAAGTTGTTGATATTGCCAACTGAAGTCGTCAGAAACTCAAAGCAATATTTTTCGCATTCATTATGAATAAAAGCTAATATTTCTTAAATTGTATTTTTCTGACCATGTGCGCCTTTAGACAATAATGAAAATCAATAATGTTCCCGCAGTACTTGCGTAACCTGCCACTTACAAAATTAATAAATGTAAAATCTGTAGTGGCGGTACTGCCCTAGTAGGTCTGAAGTCGACACCATGGAATCAGTGAAGGTCACCGTTCACCGATTCCATGGTGTCCACTTCAGACCACGGAGCAAATACAGAGAGGAGAGGGCCTAAGCAACTGTGCACTGATTTTAACTAGGTCCTGACATCATCATAGATGGCGTGGCTTAAAATTTGTACGTGCACTTGCGTATTGCGCACTTGTACATCTATTCGAAGACTAAATTTTGTGTAAACAAAGTACAAAGGTACGTAGAGCTTAGTTTTAGTAAAATAATACTGAAATTTGTTCTGCATTCACTCTTAAAGAATTTTAAATCACCAAAATAATATATGTATTTAAAATAGTTTGTAATCATTTCTGTTTATGTCTGCTTTTCTAGTTGACGATACTGTGTGAACAGTATCGTCAACTAGAAAAGCAGACATCATCATCTGCCTACCCTTTTCCCAATTTTATTTGGGGATTATTATAGAAAAGCAGACATAAACAGAACAAAAAGACAGGGCCAAAATTGGTTTCCAATAAAGTAATTTAATATGAAAATGAAGGAAATATGTTTAAATTATTATAAGTGACATACTAATTGCAAAAAAAAACATGAATTAAAATTTGAATATGTTTAGCATTTCGTAAAAGTCAACCCAAGAAATGGGAATTTAAGAGTTATACCTCATAAAATAAAATCTCCTTGAAAGTAAATACTCTATGTAGGTACACAATTCAAAGTAGTTTTCTACCGCAAGACATCCTTTTATTAGGTATATAGAAAAAAGTGAAGTAGGCGGAGCTTAACACCCCCTTTCCCCGCAAATTATCACGCGTTTTTACAGGAAATCTAATTATAACACCATTTCGTATTTGCTCCGTGGTGTAAACCAAGAACTAGGTATTTTAAGTATGTAATTTATAATGCTCTTTCAAATCAATATTTTAGTGAAAAGAGCGATTTTGTATTTTTTCGACATTTAGTTTTCGACAGGCACTGCTAACAACTAATTTGCCTGTAAATAAAGTAAGCAGTCGGCCTTTGCTTGATTAAGCACTCTACTTTTTAGATCTTCCTGGTCTAAAATTAACGCACTTCTCAATTTTAGATTTATTCTGGCGGAATATAAAATTAAAACAACATCGACTCGTAATTATTACCTTATATTTATATTGCTTACTTAACTAGTGACATCATAATAATAGCATTATCGTAAGCTTATTTATTTTACACAACTTGCCGATAGGTAAATCTATTTTAATCTGTGTATAAATTAGTTTATGATGGTCATCCACCTAGACAGATAAAAAATAGTCATTATTACAGTCTACTTTCACCTAGAACTTCGTATTTTATTTAATAGGGAAGTTATTTCAAGGAATATAAGAATCGTATAATTCTAATTGACAGCTCGATGCTTTAGCCTATTAGACACGTGGATGTTGGCAGATTTCAAGATAAAATTATTACATAAAACGTTTATATATTTACAATATATTCTGACAAATCCATTCCACGTATGTAATATGTAATTGAATTCGCCTCGCGGTCTGTGCAGTTGTTGATTTAAGCTGGAGTTCATGCGACGATGTACAAGTGTGACCATCATACTATTACGTTAATAGCGGTAGTGATTTTTAATATGTAATATCTTATGAGAGATTAATTATTTCCTTTCAGATACATATGAAAATTGATATGTATTTTGAGTCGATACAAATGTTATATCGTCTTTATACGGAGTTCTATCGTCTTTAAACCATATTTTTTTCAATCTCAGGCATACCTTAAGCACCGTGTAGCCTATAAAATGATGTATTAATGAATTGCAGCAATTTGCTAGTGTGTAGAACGCAATACCATTTAATGATGATCAGTACGTAATATATTATAATCCGTGGCATGGCAACTACTTCAGTCTTCCGCTGATTGATCAAAAACATGCCGAAAGGTATAATATAAGCTAACTACATAAATAATATTATGAACATGTCTATGACAACTTTTGCACACACATTATTAAATAAACTCCACGAGCATTATTCATTTTAACTAAAAAAATATTAGATGTATATCAAGCTATGCTTTTAAATAATATATATGTTTGGACAATATGGCTCCATCTCGTCTTGTGTCCACTATATCAGAGATTTTTATTTCTGATTTTTTATCCTTAAGTTAAACTTGGAACTACAGAAAACTAGGTCTTACGAAAGTATTTAATTTAGATAATTTCTGATACATAATATGGAAGAGCATTCGATAAACGCGAAAAGATATAACCATATTAATACAAGTACAAATAACCTGACCAGATATAATAAAATTTAAGCACTGCTATATTGTCGGTATGTTTGGTTCGTTATGTACTTTAGCAAATCGCACCCACACCGAGTGCTATAAATAATATGGTGTTCCTAAAAGTATCGGATCGAAAAGAACAAAAATTAAACTAAGACAAATTAATAAGGCTTTCATTGTAAAAAAAAGTGATTCGTGAATTTGAATTGTAAATTTTTAACGTGTTTTATGTCTAAAAGTATAAAAATACAAAACTTGTATTTCTCTAATAATTATCTGTTATGTAATTATTTTGTGTATTATATTCAGTGAGTGTGTTTGGAACGTAAAGGGAGACTGCTATTGACAGTCAATAGAGGATTCGAAATGAGATCAGTAAAGAATTTTAGTGTTCGGTGACGTATACTAAAGTCTTTGCCTATAGACAGTTGTTTATATTTACCAGATTAAGTGTATTTTACAATGTCTAATATTATTTACAAAATACAAATGATAAAACTAGAGGTTTATAGTATTAAAATAAAATGAATCTTAATCAGATAATTTTATCACATACACATTACTTCTGCAGAGTAAAAAAAGCTACAAACATTTATACTATTAGCAATGATAGGAAACATTTTGTTGAAAGTAAAGAAATAATTTAATACTGATTTTTACATTTCATTTTAAGTATACAATAGAAGTAGCGAAAGTGATCCATTCCATATAAAAATACATAAATAGATTTACTTTAACAAAACAGTTATCACGAAACAGGCCTCATTTTCAAAAAGCAAGAGTACTGAAGAAAATAGGTTTTATTTCGCACTAACTGACCTACCAAAATATATTCGATGTTTGAATTTTTTTTAAACATCTAGATGCCTTGAATTCCAATTCTCCCAATTTCTCCTTTTTCTTGAAACCTAAGTACGATGACAATAAATATTTAAAAGAAAGAATTCAAATCAGACTAACTATTCTCCAGTGATGTATTTGGCAAACAGCATTTTACAAAATGACAATTGAGGATATGAAACGGACCACATTGGCGGAGTTACTATACTACATCACAATAATATAGATGTGGTTTCTATTAACCAATCAGTGATCAGAAATCGATTATTTTTGTAAAATGTCTATTAAATAGACATGGTGAATCTGGATCCCAATTTTTTTAAAAGTATCGAGTTTTGTATCCTATCATTGAGTTGACATGGTAATAACAAACTTAACCCGTAATCTTTAATGTTTGTTTAGACTGCTTTCAACTTTGGAATCACGACAATGGCAAATTGTATTTTCGTTGATTCTGTAGATTACCCTTGCCTAGCATTTTCTTCTTAAAAGAATCTTTTAGATGGGGGTTTACGAACCTGATTAAGATCTAATAAGTTCAATAATTATTATTTTATAAATTAGGGTTAACTCTACCGGCAACAGTTAGTTTCTGAGGAGTAATCATCTGACACTAAATATCAGACTGATACTACATATTCTGAAGAATATTTATCATGCACCTAGGGGTGAGAATTACCTCAAGTACTTAGTGTTAGTTAGTGGCCAGTCAAACAATTGCACGCGTGCGCGTGTGTTAATTAAAAACTTTGAGGCTATATGAATATCTCGAATCAAGCCAAAAGAACACCACTTCAAAAAAATCAAAGTGAAAGAACGAGCTAAATCTACATTTCACTAATAAATCTATATAAACGGCAGTATCAGGATCCAGATAAACGTGCCTAATTACATGCTGACTGTTTTGTAAGAACAATGAACCAATCTAAGATTAAAAAAATTAGGCTTAACACCAGACACACGATCATTTTAATATGTGCAAACGGTGAATAAAATTACGGTTAAAATGCTAAGCTATCAAAGACTGCTGGCCAAAAACAGACAGCTGCCAAAATAAGATTCGTGCATGCATGATGCGATGCATGATTGTTCGCTCAATGATGCTGTCGACTTACACACACTCTTGAGTAGACTAGGCCCACTCTGCACTATAGCTAGGTAGATAGGTTAATTACGTTAATTACGGATTAACGTAGACAGGTCGGATGAACTTGTTGAATATCGAAATAAAGAAAAGCAACTTCTAGGTAAGGCAAAGCTCAATCGAATGTAGGAGCAAGAATCAATATGTATATGAATGTTAATTATGGATTCTGTTAGGAATAGTGTTTCTTGTACGTGTTGGTGTGGCGGTTTTGTCGCCATAAAAGTTAATTACGACAAAAAAATTGGGAAGACTCTCAGAAGGAATTACATCTCAAAAGACATTAAAAGTAACCCGAAATTAGAGCCTTCTGTTTTAATTAATTAAAATCGTGCGTTGTGGCCCTTAATGTTCGATAGTAAAAAAACGTTGTAAAGTTATAAAAATTATTTAAACAGTCAACATTGTTATATTACAAAAATAACTTTCTTTCTATATTTTAAATTATACTAGACTTGGCTACATTTTTAAAGACGGTAGTTCAAATCCACCAGCAACAGGGAGTGATTATGTCGTCGGAGTATTTGAAAGTTTGCTATTCAATTTATACATCTTTAAGAATAAAGCCTCAATATAGACAAATAAATACATTTTAACTAGTCATACAAACATACTTATTTATGAAATTGGACATATCCTCAAAACTATTTTCAATTTCGATTTTCTTGTGCCATTATTTTAGCAATATTGATCTACAAAAAATTAAATCGAAGCACACTTTGTTTCTGTAGGACAAGTAGTTAAAATGATTTATTTATTTCCATTTAACATAAATTAAATGTAACACACATGTAAACAATTCTATACTCTCAACAAAGGCAGCGCTGTTAGGAGATTTCTCATCATAAGAGCTGGTTTCATCAAAATCAAATAAGTTGCTTAAAGGATAATATCATCAGGCCATTTTATTTAGTAGTGGTGAAACAAGCTTAAAAAAAAGAATAACCAATACTTAATTCAAATATATTACATGCTTATATTTTTTATAACTATTACAGCAAAAATTATTGCAATGATACAAACTGTTGTCTCCGTGAAGCTCAACACTTAGAAGGAATGCAAATTACTGAAAAAATAAATAACAAGTCTGAAATCACAGAAAATATCCGTATGACAGACTATGGAGTTATTAAACTTGTTTGTGTCGTAAGCAAATCCCGATTGGTAACAGATTATACTCATATAATCTGTTTTTAATTCAATAATCACACTAGTGAGTAACAATTCCACAGCACAGATTATCAGATTTTATGTCTCTAAATAAAGATTGGTCACGTGATCCTCCATAAACTAAGAATTTTTATAAATACGTACATTTTTACATTTTCATATCGCGTTCACGGTGTTTTTGCTATTTTTATTTATTATTAGACGTTTAATTCCCACTCATTTTTTCTTTGTACTTTTTGTGTTAACCATCCTCGACAAAAGTAACCTAACTATTAAAATTAGTTCACATTAAATACATCTTGTAACCAATATATTTTGTTCTACTTTCTGATGCCATCTGAAATATATTATTACACTACAAAGTATGAAGAATTTCATACACTAACTAACTAAAGTCGAACACTCGAGTGTCAGCATTTTATATTTACAAATAATGGACATAACCCAGCAGCTAAAGGTACTTCACGGTCTAGCGATGTTTTATGCGATCGGCTAGGAACGCGCATATCCGGGAACGAGCGACGATACATCTGAGGATGGCAGAGACAGTGAAAAGACTTAGTATCTAGAAATCACAAAAACGCATCTCGAACGTCCTGACACCCTCACAGGAAACGTAAATCGCCCCCGAGATGACGACTGACGCTGTATTCTTCTGTCGTTCAAACAGCATCGTAACCGAACTACTCTGTCACAGGATCCAGTGCAACAGAGGACCACCGGAGTCACATATGCGAGCTCTGCGTATAGTTAAACTCATCTTACATTAGGTAATTTCACTGGGACGTCGCTCCACGTGCACAGGTGCGAGACGGGGCGGAGAGCTAGTTAATGTTATATTCCTTGAAACAGACAAAGGCGCCACTACGCGAGGCGCGGCCGCTTGGCGTCGCGCTCCTCCGTGCCGCCGCCGCCGCCGCCGCCGCCCTCCTCCTCCTCGTCCGAGTCGGCGTCGTAGTCCACCAGCCCCTACGGCACCACAACCATTGCTTAAACACTCAGCTCTAACAATTACTTCGTATATAGATGCAGTAAGCGATAAAAAAGATCCAACATAATATTTCTTTAACCATGTTACCAAGATGCAACCAAAAATAACCACTTTGAATAGGTATAAAATGCTGGAGGTGATGATAAAATACAAAGTATGTGATTTAATTTATTCTAATGTATGTATGTCTATACTTCATAGTTAAGATCCGATTGAAGGTTAACATTAATTTTATATTGCAATATAGATGGTTAATCAATAGAATTGATTACAGCTATAACATCAAAAATACACATCATGCATTTATTATACAATTTAGTTTTGTCTTGGAAAAGTGCATGTAAATTATTTATGGAAGCTAGTCTATAAATTATATGCTTCTGATAAGTCCTTCCATATTGGCCTTCCTGTCCTTCCATATCTCATTGTGTATAGATGAGATGTATTGTGACCTAATTTGCATCACACAGATAAGTTATCAGTAACGATAGCAATAGATAAAGCTGTTTTAGGATAATGTTATTATTAGTTTTATTAATTTGGAAAAGTTTATCACGAAAACAATGTTTTGGAAACCTCTAATAGGAAAAACATTAGTGTCTGTGTTTGTTTGTGTTTTTACTGAAACTACGAAGATTTACCCTATTAAAAAAATAAATACTCTCAATAAGTGTAATGTAACTCTCATGCCTGCCTATTGTTTTAACGCTTTTGTTATTGTGAGGTCGTCTTTTTCATGGTAATACTGTAGTTAATATATTTACATGATCCTAATGATGGCTCCTAGAATTTTAACGTAACTTAGTGCGAAAATTATTATTTTTTTGCTTATTTATCTCTTTGTTCTCACACCTACTTAGCTGATATTCACGAAACTTGGCTTACACATTGCCAGGGATAAAGAAAAGGACATGGGCTACTTTCACATAAAATAGGCAAGCAAAGCCATAGGCAAAAGCAATGAAATGTAACTGTACTACATAAATCTATGTTGTTTTATTGTCTAAATAATCTGAGAAAGGTACACACAATAATGATGCCCCTGCGAAGCTAGTAGTGTAGAGGAGAGGGAACTAAAAGTTTACCTTATTGAGTAATCTGGGCGAGGATACCTGAACGTCAGTGTGCGTCGGTTTGCTTGCGGTCGTGGTGCTCAGGAGTACTCTGCTTGGCCCGTTCACAGTTTCTGTATTAGAGCAAACCTTCTTTTCAACTATTTTTCCTGAAAAAAACATAATATTGTGAAAGAAAACTACACTTACTCAGTGCCTCCTAATTTATTTATTTTATACCACGTCCGTGGCGAACAGTGATACGACGACGGATACTATAAAGATCTAGGTGTGGATGTGGCTTGAAAGCGAAATAGAATAGCACTAAACGGATGCAAATACTTGATTTGTCCCAAATACTAAAACACTAACAGATCTTCTGGATAGCTGGGAGGTGTTCTTGCCGAGATATATACACCGTTTTAAAACACACACGTGAGTAGTACATACCGATAGCATCTAACGCGTGATGAGCGTGCGCGTGGTTGTGCGGTTGCGGGTGTGGATGAGTGTGCGGCGCAGGCTGGTCGAGCGGCGGCTCGTCGTCCAGTTCATCGTCATCGTTAAACCACATCTCCTCTTCGTCGTCAGGAGCCCGCGCCTCACGCCGGTACCGCGTGCGAAGCAGTGATGGTACAACGGCCTCTGCTACACCCACACTTCCACTCACTGTATGAACAAAAAATATATATGAAAGTAACCTACAGAAATAAATTTAAAATGATGCAAAGAAAAGTAAAACTTAAAACAAACCCTATGCCAACCGGTGTGGTTAGAATAGGACAAAAAAATTATTAAACTTTTTTAACTCAATAGAAATATTTGTATAATGTTAATTACCTCGATCCCTCTCTTTGAGCTTGTCCTGGTGTTGATCATATCGGGATTTTAAAGCTTTGAATGTCTGTACATATTCAACATCTTCCAAAATCTTTCCATAGTTTTCAACGACATGTGAACATAATGACTTTATATCTTCAAGTTTTATGAATTCAAATAATTCTAATATTGCTGAATCTAATAGATTATACCTGGAAATATACATACTAGACTTATTACATAAACAACGGGAACTTTTGAGATTTTAATTAGCCTCGAAGGCTATAAAGGTATACACATACATATAATCTACACAAATAAATAAAATTAAAGTATCTGTTTGCAATGTCAAAATATTGCTTTTTCACACTGCTCTGCTCACACGGTTATTTGCAAGATACCTATACCTAAAAACCAGTTTAAATATTTTTGTCTGTCTGTCTGTTTGTTCCAGGCAATCTTCTAAACTTTCTTCTTCTTTGATAATATTTTACTACCAGGTAACTACCTATGTAAGGAGTAACTCAGGCTATTTTGCCTCTCAGAAAAACACTTGCCTATATTTTCTTATTTTATTTCTTATTTTCTTATTATTTTACAATGTACTCACAATTTCGGCCTCTTTCATTTCTAAAGTAACCCAGTAGACATGGAACAAAATCACAGTGAATGGTGATTAACATTCGATTTTTGCGTATGTAGCTTAGGGTTGCTAGGTAGGTAGGTTAGACGCTATTAAACAGTAAATCTAGATTTTTTAAGTTAGTATGTAGGGAATGGTAGCTATATATAATAAAATAATTACTAGATTTATTGTTGAAAAGGCGAAATAGCATAGCAACAGCTTTACGCATCGTCTGAAAACAGCTTATTGGCAACAACGAGTGATCAAGTAGTAACCCTAACCTACGTACGAAACAATCGAATGATAAATCACCGGTCATTCACAGTTCATTGTGATTTTGTGCCATCTATATAACCCAGTGATGTCATTAGGTGTTTATACAGGATTTAATAATTCCTCTTTTGGATATACCAGAGTGAGTGTATGTTCAAGGTTGTCCAAATGACTTCTATTCTATAATCAATGTTACACACCTGCCATTATTTCTAAGGAAAGCATCTATTACTGGTGCAAAGAGATTTCCCTTTATGATATATCTGTTGTAGTACTCATCCTTAAGCGCGATGATCTTCCTCATGAATCTCAGTGCGCCGAGCACTAAAAAGGTGTGCGTCGACCTCATCAAAACCAGTATACGACGGAGAAGATCCTGCAAGTGTAGAATAACTGTATTTTTGTTACCTAGGACTTAGTTCAAGCACACATATATTTTTGAGTTTGACCTTGGATTAGTGACTTTAGAGGTCATAATTTGCGTACTGAATATCAAATTGCAATACTTAGGGTGCCGTACCTCAAAAGATAAAAAAAGGAACCCTTATAAGGTCACTCTTTTGTCCGTCTGTCTGTCCGTGTGTCACCACCGATTTTCTCAGGAACGGGTGGACGTAGCAACTTGAAATTTATACCAGATACTGAGGTCTATGGTCCCTATTAATTGTATAAAAATCAAGGTCCTGAGTCAACACGATAAAAAGATATGGGAAAATTTAGACTTTTCAACACTTTTATTTTACGGAATTTTCCCTTTACTTGTGCTTAAAATCAAAGTCTTACACTTTAATTTTAACCAAAATTGTCAATTTTAGAACAACCGGAAGAACCATATAGGTTTTGGGTCGAAAACCTATATGGTGGTTCTTCCGTTGACCTAGTCAAAAGTCCTGTATCTTATGTGTTTAACGTATTGCCGAAAAATTCACCCTAGCGAATTAATCTGCTGTTCTAGTACTTTTCTAACACCCGGTATAACGAAACCACGTCTTTATTTGTGAGAAAACATTAATTATTTGTAACACCTAAAATATTTGTTCCACTGACAACAGTGTGACGGTTTATTTTGCCGAGTCTACGGACAGGATTATTGTTTTTAAAAAACTATATAATACGTATGTAAGGACGTCTTTACCGAAAGTATGCAAAAAGTAAGATCTAGTGCTGTTTTTCTCGGTTGTTGTGTACTTAGATAGCTTCGGCAGATTCTGATGTAATTACTTGAACTTAATTTTATTAAGCTTGACATTTTACGAGTCAAAGAGATACAGGCGATGGGGTCAATTCGATATATTTATATATATATTGTGCCTTCTAAATTTTACTACGATTAGGATCAATAAATAGCTAAGTAAACCACATTGTATTAGTCTTCCTACTACGAATGGAATAAAATCTTAACCACCTATTATAAATCATATGATTTACAAATCATACAGTCAGACCTGTGACTAACTTACAAAGCCACTGTGACTTATTATTATTATTATTACCCTGGCGCCAGACTCGCGAAAGGTCTAAGTCAGGGATTCCCAAACTGTTTAGGGCAAGAGACCCCTTTTCTAAAATGAACTGATACCTTAGACCTCCATAGCCAAATTACTACACGCTTATCGACTACTAAAATATTAGTTATTCTTATAACAAATTTGTTCACGAACAGCTTATACAGTAACTTGAAAGTTTCAACGAGAACGTGTTTATTAATAGGGGTAGATTCTTAGACCTCGACCGTCGACCCCAAAAATCAGTATTGATATATGTAGACCCCTGTTAAACCGATTTCGATCCTAAGGGGTGGATATCGACCACTTTGGGAATCTCTGTCTAAATCTAAAGAAAAAGGTAGTCATTTCTAATAAAAAGAGGTTTGATTTTTTTTGGTGGCATTTGTCTGTGTCTATGACCGAAAAACAATCCCAGGCGAAATCGCATTGACTCATACCAATCATTTCATTATACGACTATAATTTAACAGTAGCAATAATTTCCATGTCTACTGCTTACCTTATTTAATATGCAAGTTTTGATATGGTATGTGTGATGCTCAACACAAAACGAAAGTAGTTCCAAAACAAGACCCAATAGTTGAACCGTGTGGTAGTCTTCTTTGAGGGGTTTCTCACCAGTTGTGTTTCCTAGTAGAGGAGCTGTAGGCAAATAAATAAAAGTGATGTATGCAAATGTAAAAAAGTACATCCATACTTATATTATGAATGTGCAAATGTGTGAGTATTTTTGTTTTGACACTATGAGCGGGTAATATAGCCTACTTTTTACTGCAATAACCAATATACACACTGGCGGAGCTGCAAGCAAAAGCTAGTAATATATATGTATTATGTCTGGTTGAAACTATTGCAACATCTATGGGTTCTTAGATTACTTTGAGCATCACCATCTCACCATCCTATGCTTAATCATGCTATCACATACAATAGCAATTACATGGTAAAAGTAAACATTGGATGGTGGGGTGATAACAGCTCGAGACTCGAAAATACTATATTACCAGTTTACATTCTAAGATGAGTAAAAACAATCTTTTAGGCAAAGAATTGCATTGTAACCCGCAATTTTGATTTCCCACAGAAATACTGACTTTTTATTTGTCAACATTTAGACTACATTTAAAGATTGAATACCTGTCAATTGAAGTTTTTTACTACTTAAAACCACAAGTTGAAAAAATTTATACAACATTATATGAATAAGTGAAAATCACAGTAATTTGTATAATATTTATCAGAAGGACCTCTGACATTATTTACCAACTATTTACATTTATAACATAACTTATTTTGAAAAATCTGAAGCATATTTTATGAACAGTAATTAACATTGCTAATCTTACTTCAATAGTTAACTTTTTAGTAAACATTGTAAATTTAGACTACATAAAAAAATTACAGTACATATTTTCTATTTTTATTTATATCAACAACATATTGTTTAAAATAGTCTTCTTTTAAAATGCATAGTGCATTGCATTGCAAATGAACCAGTACTTGGAACCAAGCTTGTATTTAGAATAATGAATATAAACTAGCTAGATTTTATTTAGTACTTTATATAATTACATTTAAAAAAAAACCATTTTTCCTAAAATTTTAAAATTGCAATGACAATAAATACTAAAAACGTAACTAGGTATGAAAAGACATAATTCAAACCAAATTTTGTCTTGACAAAAATATTAATTTCAACAACATGAATGATGAATACAATGATAGATTCATTTTTTAATAAAAAATAAGAATTAAATTAATAAAAAAATTAATTGTATAAAACAAAAAAACTCACCTATGAGTGTTTGTATACTGTGTTTGTAGAAGAAATTTAAAAAATCTGCTTTTTCACTCTTATTCACAGAAGCTAGCATACTTTCAGGGTCAAGGAGTATACGGAGCACACCCATGAGCTGCACTGCACCACCTAGTTCAGGGTCACGATCCCTCAACATCTGTTCTATTACAACATTTAGTAGCATCTTTTCCTATAAAGGTAAAAGTATATTATTTTAACAAATTTTGTAATAAACAATATATTAGTATCAACTTATTCATCATGATTTGTTAATTGTTAATATTGTATTGTATCATATACATACCTCTTTAGTAATATTAGCCTGTTGTAGAGTATGATCTCTCATTACAGAGGGTGAAAACTCTACTATATATGTTAAAATATCTATAGATGCAGTCTTTGTTTTCTGATCGTTTATACTTAGGGTGATTTCTAATGCTGGTAGGATCCCCAGGGATACTAAAGTTTTATAAAATGCATCCTTATCTTGAGGTTGTAAGTTTTGTGAAAAGTTGCAAAATTCTTTTAAAAACAGAACTAAGTCCCGTCTTTTAGTATCTGGTGTCTTATTATCCATTAGAAGCTTAAACAAATCTGTTAAAAATTTCTCATCTTCTTCTATAAGTTTCACTATTTCTACTTTATTGAAAAATATAAAACTTGATAATGTGCTTAACAGATTATCTTCAAAAACTGTAGGAGTAGGTAAAACAATATCCTGGATGTACTGTACCCTATATGTTTGATGTATTTTTGCTAACAAATCTTTGTTCTTTATAGGAATGGCTTCACGAAACTTTGCAAGTTCCCGTAGATACTCTCTGTGCTTCTTTGGCTGTGGTAATCCAGGATCATACTCTAGGCAACCCACAACATCAAATATAGTATCATCAGCAAACATTGTATCAAACAGTGCATTTTTATTTAAGAGAAATATACTTTTAAAAATTTCATACAAGTGATGCAATCCTTCAATATTTTCAATGTCCTCACACATGTGGAAAAGGTTAAGTAACTTTTTAATGTAATTTTGACTCTCAAGGGCTGCAGCAAGCTTGTCTTTCCGGGCTGGTGACACCAGGCAACTGTTAACCAGTTCACTAATGTCTTCTAGGCGGCCCATTTCACAAGCTGGTAACTCTACAGGTTGTACACTATCTGACATTTCATCAAATCGTTCATCTTCTGATTCTTCTACTATGTCTTGGGTTATTTCAACTGATGGATCCTTTCCTTGTACCTGAAAATATATTTTATCAATTTAGACTACCACTCAAGATTAAATAAGGTAAAATATCCTATGTAAATTATATATACACATAAACATTCCTACTTCCTATCTTAACTGTTGCATATACTCTTGATAGTAATTACATTTAGTAGTCAAGATCTCTATAGGGATGGATGGACATGCAAAAAAATCAAACATTTTACCTTAAAATGTGTTCTATTAAATTTTATTTTTAATTGACTATTTCTAGCTAATTTCATGAAGAAACTTATATAACAGCATAATGTTTTTACCTGACAAATCTTTTCCCAAATCTCATCGCAGCCAGCTTTTTCTTGGAAACTTAAAGCTAAATCAAAGTTATCACCTTCTGACCAAACTATCAAGGTGTCTTGTTGCTTTTGGTATGCTGTGTCAGGCTGTATTTTGCTCTCTAGAAGAAGGGAGCCATCTGACTCAGCGCGTACCAGTAATGAGGTGCCTTTCAACCTCTCCACGTAACATGATGACACATGTCCAGTTCCTCTGTCATCCCACTGTCGATCTGCGTTCAGAGCGTAAAGCTTAACTCTTCGTCTTGTGTCTGTCATGATAATAGTCAGCGCTCTAAACACTAGGTACTCAAATAATGAATCAATTATTATGGCGCTAATCTAATGCACCTCAACAGTAAATTACTTATCTCCCATTTGTATAAAAACATGTGCACTTCTGTAACAAAAATATCACCTTTTGTAAAGAAATCTGTACGTAATATTCGCGGTTGTAATTACCGTAATTACATTCCATCTTGTTCTTCAATTCACATGAAAACTATCTAATTTCGAGTAGACATTATGTTGATACTATTTAGAAAGGCTAATCCAAAATATAATCAAGGTATTCACACGAAAACACAATTCGTTATTTCGTAAAACAATGGAATAATCACTAAAATATCGGAAATCACAAACAAAACAATACAAATTGTAAGCTTTTCTTACACTATTAAAACTTAAGTAATCAATTCAAATAATACTAAAACTCTTCTTCAGATGTTGAAAATTCTTACACAATACGATATTTACCGGAATTATCATTATAGAATCGTCAATTTGACGTACCTTCAAAATAGTACAACATCAAATATCGCCATATTGGATTCACAACAACGCTTCAAAAACGGGGTTCTCAAATCGAAATGCAAAAGGCGCGACTTTCAAATACCCTTGAGTTAAAATCACTATTATGATTGTTTGATTAATCTCAATTACAGGTAATTGTAATTCAAATGATTTCTTGATTACCCTTAAATAGTTATACGAACAAGTACCACTTAAAAGTGAATATAAATAATAAAAATGAAATAAAAATATTTCTCTTAGCATTGGTAAGTTTTTTTCCTCAAATCCTCTAAATGTGGCAAAGGCAGCAAGACTTTATGACTACCACCACTCCGTTTACATATTAGTAAAAGCGTATATTTTTATCGCCGTCTATATTAATTATAATGATAAAGCAAGATGAACATGTTTAACTTATTCTAATTTCTTTAAAATAGGTTGGCGAGAATCGAATAACTTAAAATCAGTCATACTTTGAACACACGCTATAACAAAGATATCTGTCAAATCGATTTGGGAGTGAGTGTTGTGGGTCCGATCCCCACATAGAACGACACTTTGTGTGATCCACAAATTGTTGTTTTGAGTCTGGATGTTCTTTGTGTCCGTTTCATGTATGTTTGTAAAGTCCCCCGCGAGACACGATATATTCCTAATGCGGAAATTCTTTTTAAGAAAAACAAAGAAAGTGCTAGCTTGTGCACTTGCAGGATCGTTGTTAAGTAGGCAGGAAAAGATAGTCAAATGTCAATATCTGTATTTATATATTTTAAAGACCATTTATGTGCATACGTGTACATTATGACACGCAATAAATGATTAAGTATTGAGTATTAGTTTGATAGTGAAGAAGTATGTAAAAAGAGTAGCAGATCTTTCCTTGAATGTGATTTGTTTAAAACTAAACCGGGGTAGCAAAAACAGAAGTCGAAACGAAAACGAAACATTCTCATAAATTTCATGTCTAATACATTTTTATCATGTCATAATAGTTACATCTATTGATTGGAGTACGAATATAAATGCAAAGGTTTATTAGGTTTGAATTAATTTATTAATCGTAAGTATGTAGGTCGGCTTAATCTTGACATGCCGTTAATGCCGAGCTATGGATACCCGTTATGGAGGATTGGCTCGAGAGGGAACACGGGACCCTCTGACACCATTGATGCAAAGGATGCTTTCGAGATCACCTGTGGGCTGTGTCTGACCCGCAAAGAGCCAACGCCTGGGTGGCACCACTGCGATGACGACAGCATGGACACGACGCTTCACGTGTGTAGAGCAGAGGCATGACCTCGTGACTGATTGCACCCTAGAAAGTAGGGGCTCAGAACCCTCTTCCAGCCCGCCAGGCCCAGGAACGGACCAGGTACCGCAGGCGGCTCAGGCACCGAAGGTCGCTAAAAAAGCCGTGTGGTGTCGTGGGACACCCGATAGGAACGAAGTTGTGACGATCGAGTAAAACTGATTTGACACGATTTTAATTACAATGCCATCTATGAAAGCGGCGAAATGATTTCCTATCTATTCGATAGATGGCGCTGAATGTCTGACAAGATGACACGAAAATAAAGAGCAAAAAGCCAACATCACGTGGTATTCCCAGGCAGTCATCCAAGTACTAACCACGCCCGATGTTGCTTAACTTCGGTGATCGGACGAGAACCGGTGTATTCAACATGGTATGGACGTTGGCGAACGTTAAAGCAAATTTAATGTATGTTATCCACAGTTAGACGTCAATTTATATTAAAAGTGTCGTGACAAATTTTCGTACGAAATTTTTCCGTCTAGCCCCCTTTCACAACTTAAGAAAGGACAATTACAGACATGTATGGGACTTTTGTATCGCCTTGCGTATCTCATGGTAGGGATTATTGTTGTATTTATTTGGCTGGTATATCATCAACAATAGCAGTTTTATTTAACCGATTTTTAGAACTTTGCGTTCAAAAGTTAGTGGTAGCTGGTAGGCTGATAGTCACAAATGAGTTGTCATTACTGTCAACAAGTTAACCTAGATATCATTCAAAATCAATCGTTTATGATTTTTTTTGATCGTTAATAAATGATGCCCTGTCAAATTACTTAAATTACTTTTTTTATAAAATGTTCACGATTAATCTAATCATATTTATAATCATCCATAATATGTTACTAGGGATCAGGATCTCCCGTTCTCCTTTAAAAAGACCTGTATGCAGGTCTGCACAGAATATTTTTTAATTTTAAGTCTGTGGTATTTTGGCTGCCATTTGCTGTGTTCTGTCAGTTATTCTTGATGTCATTGAATAAAGATTTAGGTTTTATTTATTTTGAGCTTCAAACCATTATTTTACTAGTAAATACGCTGTTAGAGTGTATGCATTCATATCAATATTGTTAATTTTTATTTCATTATAATGATGAGCCGGGAATTTCATGTTCTATCGTGTGAGATGTTTTGTTCTTAATCATCCTTTAATAATATTTATACCAATTTTAACTTAGGTTCACATCATATATTTAGTTACACATTAAAGCTTCAGTAATGTAAAATCAGTAGATATACTGAATTAATCTTAGGAAATGTGGTTAATTGCTTATTTGACATATGTCATTTTGAAGTACATTCAAAGAATTTACTTACATTTATGATACTGTTCATTTATGTTTTTATATCAATAGCATCAAGAGAACTCTGTATGTTGCCAATGTTACTAAAATACCACCTATTCCTCTCACAGTATGAAGCAGAGGGACCAAACTTACTTTTGCATACTTCATAGCTATAACACAGTCTATATGAAATAAGTTGTAAAATGAACTCAGCATGTCTTTTGTGAGTGCTTCAGAAAATGTGGGGTAAGTTTTTAGTGTGAAACTGTAATCAAATTATGCCTGTATAAATATATTGAAACAATAACATCAAATTCTAACTCAAATCATTTTTAGTACATGGTTATGTGCATAAATATTACACATTCTGTATACTTTAGTTCTATGATTTAAATGTATTATTACAAAAAAGAGCTATCAAAGCAATCTTATGTTTCCTAGTTTACTTTTGTTGAATGGTATGCATTGAGACATTGATTATTACAATGCACAATTGGACAATATAGATCTAACAATACTGTTTGGCACCAAAGCTGCAAACTTAAAACTGACTGAACTGTTTTAACATTATGGAATTATGTCTTAATTATCATTGTCATAATTGTTTATCATTTTAGTTTCAGTGGTATTCCACAAAATATATCAGATGCGAGCTGTGCCACACAGTATAAAATGGCAGTCGAAGGTGTTTCATCAGGAAGCTGTAGTGAAGTAAACATGTTTCTACATGAGAACTCAGGGGACGAACAGGCATATATACATCTCAATGACAATTTTTACTCCAAATTTAAAATTGATCCCAACGAATTATATACATTTCATGACTCAGATGTCATAGCGAGTGAGATAACAGTGAGTCATACAGAAGACAATTTTATGTTTTCTGATGGTGTTGATGTAAAAAGTAAACTATTAGACAGTCCAAATAAAGAGTTAGATCTCATTAGTGCATTCACAAATGGTGAAATTAAGGAGGAAATAAAAAATGAGGTGGTCTCAAATGGTCATTACACATCAGTTTCAAAACCACCTGTGGACAACAAAGAAACAAAGACTACTCATACCAAAGCTCTGAAGGTAAAGAATCAAATGAATACAAAAGATACCACTAGTACGGAATCATTCAGTGAAGCCCGAAGACTTAGTGTGAACAAGCCCAAAAGTGCAAAACACTGCCAGTGCATGTTTCCCCAAATACTAAAACAGTATTAATAGTGTTACGTCCAATACTACTAAAGCATCAGCAAAGCAGTGTGGGGTGGAAACATTTTTAGATGTTTTTAAAAGAGAGCAAGGCTTGGTTGAGAATGCTACTGTTGTTGTTAAAACTGAACCACCAGGACTCACAACTAAATTACCCATATCTCCCCCGAAGAAAACCTCTGCTGGTAATACATTGTATTTTATATTATTTGTCTCACAGTTTCAAGCAAAACAATCATAATCCACCCATAATAGTCCCTTTTTAATAATCAATAGTTTTCATTACCATTGTTGTAATACTTAACTATTAATTGTAAAGCCAAAGATAGTTTTTAATATTATTTATTTAAATCTCTCATTATCTACAAGATAGAGTCACAGAAGCAGAGAAAGTGTTGAATAGTAATCTCGCACAGGGCCTTTTACTATAAAAATTTATGAAGATTGTAGCTTGTCAGGGAGCAAGGCACAGTTGCAATCACAAATTTTGTATTTCTTATAAGTGATTTTAAACATTGTTGTGACAAATGTATGATTGATGTATTGGGAAAATAGGATTGGATCATATTATTTGAGTAATGAAAGTTCAATTACTAAAACATTGAAAGTAAAATGTGTTAAAAAAATTATAAAGAATGGGTAAGCTGTCTGTGTGGTGAGGGATTAAGAATATGGAATGTCACCACCCCTATTCATCCTGTGTATTTCGTTAGAGCCGACTGAGGGGGGCAAACTATGCAGGACAACAGCACTGTAAAGAGAAAGAAAGCTTGAAACAAACCCGTCTGGCCAGCATGATATAGTAGGCCAAAACCTCCTTTCTAAGGAGAGGCCTATGTCCAGCAGTGGACTATCAAAGGCTGTTGATGTGATGTGAACTGTACCGTACCTAATCAGGTGACCCGTCTGCTCGTTTGCTACCCCCAACCCCCCCTCCCCATCCCATAAAAAATATGTACATAAGTATGTAAACGCCAAGGGCACCTCCTTTGCACTCGCCTAGGTACTCCTACTTTGTGAGGGCGCCCCATTTCACTGATTCAAAACAACGCTTGGTTGTTACTAAACTAAATGTATAAAATTACATGGAAATTTGTATGTAGTATAATATTTTTTTAGCCTTTTTTTAATACAACAATTAGATTGTAAGTAAACTTTAAACCAAATATTTAAAAAGGACTTACTTATACTTTTATGGGTACAAATTGGCAAAAAAGAAAAGGATTATATCTTAATATCTTTTTATTAGGCAAAACTCCGTCGTCATCGAAGTCTCGTCGCGGTCGCGGACCGGCTGTGCACGAAGCTTTACAACGGATACCCGCAGCGAAGCGTGCTATACCAATACCTAATACAACGTGGCATGCGCCCGGAGACAGTTTATTCCAATGCGGACCACTCGACGATAGAACCGTTGCCTTTAGACAACTGGAGAGTAGCAGCAGTGATGATGATAATATGCCTGATTTAGGTAAATACTTTTTTATTACTTTGAGATGATGTGAGAGGATAACGCAGATAAAGAACAAAAGTCTTTTAAAAAGAACTCTTCTAAGAGCCACTCAGCTGGGACAATACCTGAATGGTCACTGTTATGATAAATGATATTTATTTCTGTAAGTAAATCTTTTCGCCGGCATTTCCTAAGACTCACTCTGGAAACAAACCACAGAGGTGTCTTTTTTTTTAAGCCCGTAAACGAAGTTAAATAAAACTGTGCGAGTACAGTATAGGGTCTGGGTAGGCCTTTTGAGGAAAGGACCATAGTTTTGAATCAGCCTTTCCCTACAAACGGCATACAGGCTCCAGCCATCGTGTAGCCTAACCGATATTGGTCAAGATCAACGACCCGAAGCATGACACTACCGCCAGCAGGACATTTGGGGACACTCAAAACCACCAGAAAGATACTAAAATATGAATTAACATTACAAGCCTACAAAAAAAATATACTATACAATTCAAGTTCAACGAAAAATAAACAAATTAAAACAAACAAAATACGAAATATACCAAAAAATAATAATTAAATGTCCATCACTTTCAAATTTAACAACAAAGATGTCTACGTAAATGTGGGAGTGAGTAGCATCAATCCCAAGCAAATTTGTCGTCTAAATAATCTGTAATAGTGTAATAGCAAGCCTTTTCACACAGTTTTAGCTTTAAAGACTTAAATTTGTTAATACTTAATTCATGGAATTTGCTTGGCACTTTATTGTAAAATCGCACACCCTGACAACGAAAAGACTTACTTACTTTTTGTAGTCTAGTGGTTGGTAACACGAAGTTATCTTTATTTCTAGTGTTTATTTTATGAATGTCGCTAAACTTTGTGAATAAATGTTTATTTTTCTTTACATACACTAAATTTTCATATATGTATTGAGATGCGACTGTCATGATACCTATTTCTTTAAACTTATCCTTCAGTGACTGCCTATAACTGAGATTATAAATTGCACGAATATATCTATTATAGAATAGATATTACAGTCAACAGTTGTTTGAACCAAATCTAACTACCCACAATTTCTCTCTATTTTTGTTTCATAATGTCCATGCAGGCCAATGTACATACATGCTATTCTATATTCAAACGGATAGCCGTTTGAATATAGAATAGCAATAAAAACTCCAAAGATTCTTTCTCTGTAAAGTATTTAGATATATGTATGTACATTGGCCTGCATGGACATTATGAAACAAAAATAGAGAGATTTTGTGGGTAGTTAGATTTTTCATGACTTGCTAGTTTATTCGTTCGCCATCTTCAAACCTGTTTCTTTTATTCGAGTTTTTTGTTTTTTAAGTGTAGTTAAACTGATTTACCAAAATGAGTAGGACTAGACTATTAAAGCACGAATAGATAGCTTTGCATTATCAAGCCAAAAACTTATTGGAAATTACAAAAGAGATTGGCGTAAACGTGATTAAGAAAAACTACTACGCCATCTAGTATACTTCTTATTAAATTGTATTCAAGTGTACACGCGATTGTAGGCTTTACGCTATCCATGCAATTCTAAATGTGATTGCGCATACCCCTGGATTTGTAATTCAGGTTATAAAAAGATCGACAGATAGCATGTTAAATTTCCCTCTGTTTAAAAATGGGCATAAAATTGTGCACTCGCAGGTCGTAAGGTACATATTTATTTCAGAAGCTGGTTGTGGTGCGGCATGTGTAGAAGAGAGCGCAGCGGAATCGCGTGGCGTTCGTCTTGCTTTACGCCGAGCTGCATTGCGTCGACATGTGGCGCGTGCTCACCATGCCTTACGACTGTCAACAAACCACCGAGATTATCGATCACTCGCCTCGCTGCTTAAGGTATATTAAACATGGTATAAAATAACATCCTCTTAAAAACTTCCCTCCTCCCCACCCCCCCTCGCTGCAGGTACCGCGATCGTCTTAGTACCGTCCGCAAGGTTGCTACCGCTAGCACGCGTTTTTTTTTCTCTTAGCTTTGATTCGTATGTTGGTTACGTTTGTTTTAATTCGTTAAAATTTTGTTACTTATTAAAACTGTTATTATTTTGTTGTGTGGAAAATAGAAAAAAATAAAACAATACTGAACTCTTAATATTTTTTAAAAATATTAAGAGTTCTGAATTTCAGCAGTCCTCACCCTGTTCAATGACGTATTTATATACCATTATATATCATTCACATTTTTGTATACAACACTACGCTCTAATAATGATGATTGACACTGCGCCACCTAATCCCAAACGAAGCTGACCTTGTACTATGGTTACTAGACAACGGATAAACATACTTATATACTTTTGATTTATAGATATATACTTTATTATAATACATAGAAGCACCTAGACCCGTAATAATTAAATATCTGTAGATAACGCAAATAACTAATTTGTATAACAATATTTTCTCGTGTAACATTCTAATTTTTCATACCAAATGCTTATAAAGATTAGCGCTCACTTGGAACATTACTTGAACTAATAATAAACAAAGCGTAATACTTAATACGCGCGCTTAATACTTTGGGTAATTTTATATAGGAAAAAATAATACCTATCGATCATTCGGATTGTTCTGCTATCCGTACCCGAAGTCAATGACGTCACGTTTGACAGCCGTCTAGTTCGCTTGGTCGAGTAGTACGCATATATTGGAACGAAGTTCCTTATCGCGCGTTGTGAAAGGGGGCTAGACGAAAAAAATTCATACAAAAATTTGGGACGCGACACTTTTTTATTAATATAAATTGACGTCTAACTGTGGATACCATACATTAAATTTGCTTTAACGTTCGCCAACGTCCATACCATGTTGAATACACCGGTTCTCGTCCGATCACCGAAGTTAAGCAACATCGGGCGTGGTTTAGTACTTGGATGGGTGACCGGCTGGGAATTTTTTTTTTTTTGGTGTATTTCGTATTTTATTTTTCTTTGAATTTGAATTGTATAGTTTTTTTTTGTGTAATTTTGTAAATGTGAGTATAGTGTAGGCTTGTAATGTTAATTCATATTTTATTATCTTTCTGGTGGTTTTGAGTGTTTCCACGGCCTACCCAAATGTCAACATTATATTTTTTTCTTGAAATTTTGAATTTAGGAAATAAAACTAAGTAAATATATTTCAAAACACTTTAATGATCAAAAGAAGTTGATGCTATGTACACTATTACCCAGATTTCAGTCAAAGTTTTTTTAAAAATTAAAGTAAATCTTATTATAACATACAACGTAAGCCATGAATTTGATGAAAGTATGAACTATGATTGTTTTAATTGTTTTACTTAATTCTAATTCAGTACACAACAATATTTTGTGTCATAAATATTTAGTGAACTTAGAAAAATAACGCCTTAATAATTTAAAATGAAATTAGGGTGCTCTCAACAAAAATTAGCAATAAAAAGTTTAATATTATACAAATGGATCGCATAATCGAAACATAGTCTTTACAACTCAATGTTGTGGGGATAAATCTATCTCACAATACTTTACACTATGGGATATACGAGAAAAAAAGTCAGCCCTACATGACGTGTAGCGGTACCCAACATTTTTTTTCATGGTATAGGGGGCAGACGAGCAGAAAGGTCACCTGATGGTAACCTGACACTAAAGAGTAACAAGTGCGTTGCCGCCTGCCCTCAGAATCAGGGGAGAGGGATGGTTCAGTCTTCGGTAACGTCGCACACTTAATTTGTCACATTTTATAATTGTATAAAAAAATCATAAATAAAAAAAAAAAATCTAGCCGTCACATTTAAAATACCCCACACAAAGTTATCGTCAGATTTTTGGCTAGCGTGACAAGAACATCAAGCTGAACCGTCTGTATAAAATCTAACACACTAGTAAAATAGTGATTTTTAGAATTTGCAGTTCGCATATTCGAAAATTCTCTACCCGCTCATGACACTTTAAAATCGTCAGAGTTTTCAATGGGAACATTTTTGGCGTCCAAATAACGTCTATACCCCAAAATATCTGATAGCCCGAATTTCTTTAACGATTTCCTCCCCTTACATTTTTGTAAACTTGTAGAAGCTTTTCCCACCGCTGAAAGTGGAAACATGATAAAGCTTTTATTCATTCCTACCTACTCTTTCAAATGCAATAAGTCCCCATGACGCAATCCCCATTTAGCATCCCCAACTATAAAATTTTTGTCGTTGCAATGTATTGCATATATGGGGTATAGTACTGTGTTAGACATTGATTTATTATGATAGTTACATGATACAGTTTCTGATGACGTTGTTCTCAACGTCATTCATCGTCGTTGGCACATTGTGGACCTATTTTTTATCGTTTTCGTTACTCATATTTTTTTAGTTATTGGTTAATCAGGCCGTCTTCGCTACGCTTGGGTGGATTTTTTTAAAAATATGGGGGGCAAACGTCTGGTCGGATTTATGTATCTTGATCTTGATTGAGTAATGCTGGAAGGAATTTAGTATTTACTAGATATATTCTGCACCTAGTTGGAAACAACTATTCTAGAGTTCCTTATCTCCACATAAACGCAACTTTTCTATGAACACTAATTACTACTTACTGACGTTACTAATTGTGAATTAATATACTTCGTTATGCGCCAGTAAACATGAACAATAGTCTTAAGTTTTTGTTGGGTTCGGTATATAAAATAGGCACATTATTACGACACACAGTTGAGTTCTAGCCTATGCTTAGAACTTCTTATGTATATTTTGTAGTTATAACAGTTTTAAGTGGATGATATCTTTAGGACGAGATATCCTATTTGAATAATTGGAAAAAGCCTTACATAATAAATATTTCGTTTAAACATGTGTATCGTACCTATATTTTGTAAACCACTCTTTCGTACCACATTTTACGCAAAATCCAATTATTTTCATAAAATAAGGATTGGAACAGTTTATACCTAGGTAGATTCATGTAAGCAATATTATATACATGTTTTTACCTTGTTTTACATTATATTAGACTTTTCTTAGGAATCCCTATATGTTACTCAGTGATAATATATAGAATTCTACTGGTGAACGAATTTTTAATAATATGTTAGTCTAGTTTGACTGTATTCATTACAAACAAAAATACAAATCTTGCCCGTCTGTCTTAACAGAAACAAGTAACTGCCGCCGGTCCTTCGTGTCGTCTTCCCACACAGACTGTAAATCATCTACTCGCCATGAGGGGCATGCCTTCTGTTTTGTCGTCACTCGAGCGGAGGAGACTCAGGTAACTTGAAGATATTTAGGTGTATCTACCAACATACTGTCTCCTTGCTGGCATCGTAATTTCTAGCATGGAAATGCAAACGATTGATTCTCATTTCAACAGATTATGATTTTTGCTGTTAATGTTATGTTCATTTCGGTTTGCAGATAATAAAATCAAGCACAGTTATGTACCTATTGGAATCAATTTATTGTGAATCTTGACAAAACTAATCAATCTGTGTTTTTAGACTTTTCTGAGATAAAGTGATATGCATTTTGGATTCAGAATGTTGAACGTCCATAACTTCAGATAATGATTTGAGCTACTGATAGTCCGACAAATAAATTACCTTTTTATATGATATGCGTAAGAAAACAATATATTATTAAAAAAAAAACATTTTTTTATGGGTTAGGGGCCAGCGAGCAGACGGGTCAACCAATGGTGGCTTAACACCGGTGATGCCTAAAATCATAGTGATTATTCTACTAATATTTTCTTACTGGAATTATGTTCAAAAGTCTATAGATTCTATGAGACATTTTCTATCTAGTGGTCGGTTTTTTAGAGTGAGAACTAGTTAAGTTCAGCTTTTATGTCGCTATACAATGGACAGTCCATCATAATCATCATCACAATCAAATGAAAGTGTGTTAACTCTTTGTTAATATTGATGTTTCTCTTGGAAAATTATTTAATAAATCGCTGTGTCTCGCAGAGTACACGGTTGGTCGGGCGGCGAATCAGGTCGCGGGGATGAGGCTACAGCGGGGTCCAACAGCGTGGAGGTAGAGTGTGCGGAGGAGCGCTGTGACCGCGCTGCCCTGCCGTGCGCGCGCTACTGCCTCTCGCACGTGACGCTGGCGCCCGACCAGCGGCTGTATGCGGCCTGCGCTGCAGTGTTCGCGGGCGGCGCCAGGTGCCGGCACCCCTTGCTGCCGCTGCACGACCAGACCCCCTTGTGTGCTGAACATGCTTGGAAGCGGGTACGTGGCTTCTTCGTTTCGATCTCCTCCATTAAATTATTATTGATAAATTTTATTGGAGAACACCAAACCAAGTTGGTCAGTGTGGATTCAATTATTTCTGTTCAAAAAGAGGTGAGAAAGTGAGAACATTCAAAGAGTTGATGAAGAAATACTTGTAGGATAACTACGACAAGCTGTCGCGCGACTGCCGGCCCAAGAAGGGCGCGGTGCGCGCGCGCGCGAGCCCGGCGCCCCGACGCGCGCCGCGCCGCGCCCCGCGCCGGCGCCGCCCGCCCGCGCGCCTGCGCACGCCGCCCGACGCGCCCAGCGCTGAACACTCCCTCTCAGGTACAACCATCGCTTTGCTACTATAACTTATATACTAAATTTTAAATTCGTCGTTGCGTCATTTCATCATTTTTATTTATGGGACAGCCACGCTTCGGCATATGTGGGCCGACTCGACAGGAGTGTGTAAAACCGATGTTAAGTAGTTCTTTCGGTAATGGGCGTCGGTGGTCACTTAGCATCAGGTGACCGGTTTGCTCGTTTGTCCCCTGTATTTAAAAAAAAAAGAAAATATAGGACACTCAACCACGTCTAAGCTACGGTTACGTTTTGAATTTACACTAATGCGCTTAATGAACCCTGATTTATCTGTGGCGCCAAACTACAAACAATAGGGAATATGCATGTCTTTTTTAACGTTTCTTCTAGTTAAATATTAAATTAAAAAATATAAATTAACCATTGGACTAAAAAATTACCATTATTTTCGGACGATTTAAACGCGGCCATTTTAGCAGTGTCTGTTTGTACAAAACTTTCGGAAAGTTAAAAAAGTGACTGATAAAATCAGCTTATTACGATGGCAAAGCATAGAAAAGTTGAAAAAAAATTGTGTCTTTCCTACGTTTTGATGCTAAAATAACATCAAAACTGCGACTGACAAAGTATATTTCCTTATGTCGAAAGATGCAGGTATAAGGAAAAGGTGATGCAAGGCGATGAGAAGATACAATGTATCGTGTTCTAGCTATTTATACTGTTGTGAAGATCATTTTTACTTAGTTACCTACTCATAAATTTTTTTACAAACTTCCACGAAAACACAACCTAGTTTACGAAAAGTTCGTAAAGATTTATTTATTTACTAGTTTTGTTCTTTCACGATACGTTTCATATATATAATAGGCTTGTGTCCACTAATAACAAATTGCTTGGTTTATAGTTTCAAATTATAAATAAAGAGACATAGAAAAAACTTGTCTATTTCTAATAAAAGTTAAACATAATTTTTTTTTAAAATAAATTCGAACAATATAGACATTAAGTCACGTGACAGCGAACACCAATCAGAAAGTGTTACGTCACGCCACGCGAAACATCATTGTTGTTGTTGACGTTTTCATACAACAGCAGGTTACTCCTTATTGTTTTTCGTTTTTAGCATATTTTCTCACCTTAATACAGTTTCAGTTGACACTGGACAGATGTAAACAGTTTTGTTTCGCAGACTGTGACGTCATCAAGACGCCATGACACTATACAGCGTTCTCAAGGGAAATTTAAATTGTTTTTTAAAATACAAAATACGTTATGTAAATATTGCTTTTTCTTTAAAATATAGGTAACTTGATCAAAAACTTTCACTGTTAAGTACTATACATGCAACGCCTCTGCGGTACATGGAGGTCAAGTTTTGCTACTAAACTAAACGCTTATAATACTCGATTATTAATTTCTGATCGCAGATTCGATATTGTTTTTTTTTGTCAAAATTTAGTGGAATACGACAGGGACCGAAACCAATTAACCGAGCCAAACCATGAAACGATCAATTTAAATGAGGTAAAAAATATAGTCCTCCATAACGGATGATTATCAGTTGAAACGTCGTATCAAAAATAACAAATGTGTCTAAATGACTCAATATGCTAAAATTTCCAAATTACTTTTAATTTATTTTACTTTTATTACTATAATTTTAAATATTTTTTTGTTGTCAGAACTGAACGTGTGTTCGAATTCCTCGACGTACGACAGTTCGGAAGACACGGCGATGGGAGGGCTCAGTGAGACTGAGTACGTCACTGTTGGGAATGACTCGCACGAATTAGGTAAGGACTGTTAGCTTTAATGATAGGAAGATTTTAAACTAAGTGTTTTTTAATGTTTTATTTAATTTGAAATATAATAGGTATGTACATATAATATGATTAATAAAAAGTCTAAAAAGTCACTAATAATGATTGTATGTAGATTAGGAATGGTTATAAAATATTTCAAAAAGATTAAGTTATGTGTATGTGCGACGTTAGCCTAAGTAATTTAGAAATATTAAGTAAAATTCTTGTATATATATAGTTATCATCATCATCATCAGCGGTACTAGTCCTATGCTGGACTTGAGGAGGTTTAAGCCTACTATACCACGCTGATCAGACGGCTACCGAGCTTACGCCGTAAAGGCTTTGTTTCAGGTTTTCTTGTCTTTGCAGTCTTGTTGTCCTGCGTAATTTACTCCCTTAGTCGGCTCTTACGACACCTACCGTCACCACACGGAACCAGTATGTAGAATTAGTGAAAATTTACTTTGTTCCATCAAAGTGCCTGCTTTATGGTCAGAAGTCGCTGTATTACGGATACTAATAAAACTTAAGTGTTCAGTAATGGACACATATCTCTCTAGTGGTTTAGCCCCTCAATTTTCAATTCTTCGAAGCACTTTTCATCGCTTTGTAATTTTCTAAGAAAACAATAACAGATATAGGCACAAGTTAAACTTCGGCTGGAAACTAAAGTCGAATCGGTAATAGGTGACAAATAAAATACCATATTAGTAAGTAGATATTGTAATAATAAAAAATTAAAAAAATTAAAATTTATGTGTGTGTTGTGGGTGTGTTTTAAAAGAAATAAAAAAAACTAGACTGGTGGCATCAAATAGAAACAAAATAACAAAATAAAAGTCTCGGGCGCCAGATACCACCTTAAAAGAACACAGAACCCACCACAAACACAACAAATACCTCGGACCACTCGGCCAACACTGAACCTTTTTAATCCAGGGCGGGAGGCAGCTAATGAATACAAGATGTTAAGTTCTAATGGCTGTTTATTATCCCGTAGTGTCTGTAGAGTACAATATGTCTTATGTCTCTAATTACAATAGGTAATTCTTATACACAAATTAGTACTGTCATTAATGCAATCCTTTCCAATAAAAATATAAGGTTAAATAAGTTTTAAAAAGTCACATGAAGACCCAATAAGAAAAGAGTCTAAGGGTAGTTGTAGCAACGCCCTACTCCCTTAATTAAAATTAACCCCTTGGGGACCTGTATATGTTTTTAAACAAAGTCGCATAAAGACTTAATAGACAAAACAATAAACTCTAAGGGTAGACGTAGCATTGACCTACTCTCTAATAAAAATAACACCCCTTGGGGACCTGCAGTATTCAATGCCACGTCGCCAAGAAAAATATAACAAAACACATACCGATGACCTTGGTTCAGTCCGAAGTGTGCGTTACCCCAGCAAAATAATGTCGAAAATGGTCATTTAAACGTTATATATAATTAGTTGCTCCCCTTCTGTAATTGTTAGGCACATTTTTAAATTTGTTTCTCTTAAACTTTTTTAGTTATTTCAAAAAAACATTTCCTGCTGGGGTAACGTTTGAAACGTTACCGCAGCCAGACATTTCCTTTTTTAATTGTAATATTGAAATAAATTTTAGCTAGATAATTAGTTATCTGGACTAGGTAAATGTTACAACTTATTTGGTATTTGTATTTTCTTCGGCTGCGAAGTTATTCGAAATCCTGCTGGAGTAACGTTTGTGGGTTTGCTGGATCTCTGAAACGGGTAAGCGGATTGTAACCATCTTTTGTACATAACTTCTCAAGGATTAGTTTTAATTTGTTCGACAATAAAATAACAAAAATAATGGACCGTTTAAAAATTATTTAGGTAAGTATGAAAACACTTCAATACGTCCTAACACTTTAAATAAGACCTCTAAAGACTTACTTCAAACGTTATTCTATTGCTTGTAACTACCTTCAAATGTATACGAATTTTCGTAAGAATACTATAAGTGACTAAAAAGTTATGATGAAATGTAGCTCTCCACGTTCACGATCACAATGTGTGCGGCCTTTTTTGGCCACCGATAAACCTGTGTGTGGATATATAAACTGAATGTTATGCCAATAATTAGTTGTTTAGTTCAGTTGTCTACCTGTAGAATTTCAGCGTCGTACATATAATAATTTACGAGATAATTAAATAAAAGTCATTAGAAGGTGCAAGTCCGTGGTAATCCGACCATGTTTAGGTGGTTACAAAAAAGCGATCACCCAGTCCATTGGGCTGTCTTTTAAAATGTTTAGTGTAATACACCTTACGATTTCGGTACAGTTGCGTACAGTGTTAAATACATTTAATATTTATTCATTATTATTACCTATTATTTATTTTGTTTTTTTCCCTAATTGATCTTAAGCACTAGTTTCTTTACTTAAAATTTCTTTAGTCTTTTTTACTACCGGAGCTACAATCAACAGAAAATCTGCACTGGTCCGCTAAAATTATAAATATGTAGATACATGTATGAACGATTCACCTGACTGCAATAAATCGAAAATTTAAACCAATAAGAAATCGTTTCATTTCTTTGATTTTTTTTTGTAAAGAAATAACACTAAAGTAATTGTATTTTATATTGGGGTGTATAGAGCTTAGACTTTTTTTTTTTTTTTTTTTTTTTTTTTTTATATATATCTGCAATCGGCTTTCAGCCATAATCAGATGTTTTCTGGGATTAATTTGGGTCGGGTGCGATTCCATTAAACAGCACCGTATGAGTTGACAGATACTAAGTAGTTAGTTTCTCTGGTCTATGTTTAGTATTTGACATCTTTTCAGGCGAGTCACATCTTCATGTCGGTTTAATAGGTTCTTAGCCAGTTCATTTGTGTGCTTATTGAGCCTCTCCTTGTATCTCCTGCTTATTTTACAAGCTTCCTCCCTTACGGTTGGTATCTCCAGGTATTCATGTATTTCCGTGTTTCTCACGAACCAGTGTGCACTTGAAATTGTTCTTAGAGCAGTGTTTTGAAATCTCTGGAGAATCTCGATATTGGAATTGCTAGCACAACCCCAGAGTTCTATCCCGTAGGTCCAGATTGGCTTTATTATAGTCTTGTATACGAGTAGTTTGTTTCCGATTGACAGCCGGGATTGACGTCCCAGTAACCAAGACAGACCTTTGAATTGTAAGGTGGCTTCTGTTTTCTTGGCTTTTATGTGATTAGCCCAGGTAAGTCTTCTATCCAGGTGTAGACCGAGATATTTCACGCTGTTACTGTTTGGTAATGGCTTGTCTTCCATAAGAACAGGTGGACAGTCGCCTTTTCGGAGTGTGAATGTTATTTGTGTCGATTTGGTTACGCTAGGTTTGATTCTCCACTTCTTAAGCCATAAATCAACTTTATTGAGCTGTTCCTGTAGCAGCAGGGATGCGTTGTTCGGGTTTGTATCGCTTGCAAGGCATGCGGTGTCGTCTGCGTAAGTTGCTGTTACAACTTTTTCTGTCTCAGGCAAGTCAGCCGTGTATATTGAGTAAAGGACTGGGCCAAGCACCGATCCTTGTGGAACTGAGGCAGTGATGTAATACAGCTGTGATAGCTCTTCTTCGTATTTTACTTGGAATCTTCTTTGATCCAAGTAAGATTTTAGGATCATGTAGAAAGAGTTTGGTAGGAGGGTTTTTAGCTTGTACAGCAGTCCTTTGTGCCAGACTCTATCGAATGCCTGTTGGATGTCAATGAATACTGCACAGCAATACTCCTTTTTCTCTAGCGATTGTCTAATTTTGTGAACCACACGATGTACTTGCTCGACAGTAGAGTGTTTTTCCCGAAATCCAAACTGGTGATCAGGTATAATCTTGTTTTCGTCCAGAACTGGTTTTAGTCTTAGCAATAGAATCCTCTCGAATACCTTTGACAGAATAGGGAGAAGACTTATGGGCCTGTATGAGCTAGGTTCTGTTGGTGGTTTCCCTGGTTTTGCAATCATACAGATTTGGGATATTTTCCATAGCTTTGGATAGTAATTAATTCTAAAAATGGCATTAAATAGCATTGTTAAAAATACTATTGCTTTTCTAGGCAGTTGCTTAAGGACTTCACCCGTTATTAGGTCGAAGCCAGGAGCTTTTTTGTTTTCCAAGTAACGAATTATTCGTGCTAGTTCCTTTGGAGTGACAAGCTTCAGCGGTAGTGATAACTGCTGGTCACTATTGATCATTAGATCAACTTCCTCTTCAAATTCCGTCATTGATGACTGGTTTGGAGTGAAAACCCTGCTTAGGTGTTTAGCGAAAAGCTCAGCTTTTTCACTTCCACTTCTAGCCCACGGATCGTCGGAAGAGATCCTTAGTGGTGGAATATGGCTAAATGGTCTTTTAAAGCCTCTAGTTATTTTCCATAGTGAGTAGTTGTCCTTCTTGTGAGCTGAAAGCGTAGAAAGTTTTTCTTGAAAAGATGTATTCCGATTTTCTTTGATTAGTTCTTTTAGTTCTCTAGTGATTCCATTGTATTCTGCCCTGTCTAAATCAGACCTGCTCGTGTGTAACTGCCTTCGTTGTCTCCGTTTTTCTTTCAGTTTGTTGCGTATTTCCAGCGGTATATTATTTTTATGGGTGGAATAGCCTAATGTCGGGGTAGCACGCCACGCAGCGACTTGTATAAGGTTTGTGATATAGAATGTTGCATCATCTATATCTTGTTCTGTTTTAAGTTTGACCTTTAAGTTGACTTCATCTTTCAGATATTCAGTGAAAGCATCCCAGTCTGTTTTGTGATTGTACAATGCTGGCCTCTGTGCTCTGTGTATTGCCGACACGCTAAATGTTGCTATTATAGGGGTGTGGTCAGAGACGCTATCGAGCGATGATTCCACATCAAAATATATATCAGACAGTCCCTTTACAATGAAGAAATCTACTAGATCAGGTATCTTATTAGCGTCAGTTGGCCAGTAAGTTGGTTCGCCTGTTGCTATTGTTATAAGTTTGTGTTTATCAATACATTTTTTCAACTCTCGT